TCTTTTATCTAATAAGAGTTTCTGTGCAACCGAAATTATTATCATGCACATTCACAATCACACACTCACAAATTCTCTGGTCGGCTTAACTCCAGAACTCGTGTGTCTTCCTTTTTTCAATTCGACCATATTTTCAGTTCAACCTTGGCACACATTGACTCATTTTCTCTCCTCCATTTTGATACCTTTGTTCTTTCAGAGGAAGTGGAAGTTTGCGACTATTCCTTTTTTGAGTCATATCATAATTGTTTGAAAATGACTGAAACTTTAACCTCTGATTTTTTTTCCCGAAAAACTTCAAATTAATTCAAGAAGCTACCTATCAACTTCTAATATTCAGATATCAATCCCACGGATTGTAAATAACATCATAAACTGCGACAACGTCACTCCTAGGAATACTGCACAAAAGGAGGCGCAAAATTTCTGTATGTGTGTGTTATCAATTTTTCGCATACTTATTTTATTGATCTTATGTAAACCCGAAACATACCGATTAGAATGTCTCCAAACCGTTTTCCCTCCTCCACTTCGTGTAGATATTAAGAAAATAGAGGTGTTAGAAGAGCATTATGTTTCTTAGGATTAGCAAGAAACGTGACCTTTTTTATGTTAAATATTTTTTAAGAAGGGTTTCTCTTTTTCAGATCATTCTGAAAACCAGACTCAGGGTAAAAATGACATAGACTCTTGACTATTCAGAATTATTCTTCGTGGGTTGGGCTTTGCATAATTTCAATTTATTCCAATCGGATTTCCGTACCACCTGTCAGGTACAAAACGAACGTGTTCCGTTAGAATTTTCATTATTTTGTGTTGCCGCCTGTCTGCAAACATTTCGATTGTAGTGTTGCGTATTGCGGGTCACTTTCAATTCATTATCAATCATTGGAAATTCGATTGAAGTCGTCTTTCTTCCACTCACTTTCCATCTACATCAATTCCAGTTCCGAAGATGGTGAAAGTGATGTTTTGAAGTGTTTCACTTACATAGATTTTATTGGTTGGAAGGAAAACGATAGATTCAGAAAGAAGTTTGTCGTATTCTTCGTGAATCATTAGTTTGTTATTTCGTTTTTAAGAAAAAGTAAGAAGCAATGTCCTATTTGTATTTTCTATGATTTCCCGCTTTTTTTATCATCAAATGTCTCATATTCCTATCCTTAAACTCATTATTTTGAAATTCTGGATTTCGATTCTCTTGAATTCATTAGGACTATCCATTGCAAAACCAACGACCCCTTTATTGTCTTTTTCTCTAGAAATGAAAACTTCAAAACGGTCTTCGTTTCGGTTTCGAAGCTTTTGTGACGTGGTAAATATTTTTTCCATACATAAAAGCTTGCCACAGATCCATGTTGAATAGAAACTTTTCTGAAAAGTTCTCAAAAAATATGATACAATAACTTGTGCGACCCATTCTCAAAAGTATCGTATTCAACTTTTTCAACTTTCTTTATATTCGTTTTGTCACAAACGGAACAACACTCCTCCTGCCGAGAACTCTCTTGAAGCTGAATCTGGGCAAGCTAAATGTAAGTATTTCATTTCGAATTTCCAACATACTTAGACGACTGAGCAACCTGAAATAGAAAGGCATCCCTTTTACCGTATTATCAATCTCGAATAGAGCTCCACCCAAACCGTTAACTTTGAGCTCAATTATCTCGATTACAAGTTTTATCCTTCGCAGGAATGAAGATAATTGAGCTTAAAGTAGACGGTTTGGGTGGGTTTCTATTGAAGGAAATACGGTAGTCGACATTCCCTATGAAAAATAACATTAACATATATCAAATGAGGGTTATTAACAAAATATCAACCATATTACCAAAAAATAGAAATGTGGAGCCTCTTCTATTATATACATAAAAATTTAGGTTATAATAACAAAAAGTTGAAAAAGCATTTTGGATGAAATCCTCGAATTAAATTTCCGAGGAGAGAATCGAGCCAATTTTGATTCGCAAGTTTGGTGTGCCTCAAATTTTGACTGATCCAACTTTTTTTTTTTAAATTTTGTGGATTTTTATTTTCTAGCTTATCGGTTGCCAATAACTTCTTCAAACAGTTGAATTTAAGAAATTTTTCGAAACAACTAGCCGTGTGAGTTGTTTTTATACTTTAATATACTTTTCACAGCCATTCTTTTGCATTAAAAAATTGAATTCTAAGTTTCAAATTTTCAAATAATAGAATATTATAAAAAATGACTCCAAGAAACTTTGATTTTTGCGTTTTGTTGTAGAAAATACGTGTAGTTTCGATAATGAAAATAAATTAATTCTCAATTTTCAGCTTATCAAAAAATCGAGTTAAATTCAATTTTTCACTTTTGCTTGATCTTTGAAATCAGAGTTTTTCTGACTTCAATAGCTATGAAAACTGCAACGATTTCCATTTTGAAAAAAGAAGTTTGTAAAAAAGTTGCAAAGAATATATCACAATAACTCGTAAGACCCATCTTTACCTTTTGAAACTTTTTATTACCCGGGTTTTAGTTTTTCTAGCTGATACAAAAACAGATTTCTTAAAATCGTCCCGGTAAACCGAAGAACTGCTAAAATCATCGCTTAGATCGTCAAATTTTTCACAATTCACTGAAAATTTCAACGTGTGTTGACAATATCTCTTTTCTCACTCGGATCCTCGCGCTCTTGTGCTCTCAAATCCTCCCTTACACCAATTGAGTTCTCTCTTTTGACGGGATTGCTTCTTCGTCGTTTTGATGCGTGCTTCTCGTTCCGAAATCCCTCCATGTGTTGTCCTTGAATCTCTTCGCACACATATTTCAGCGGATCTTTGTTTCCTCTTCCGTAGGTTTCAACTCGGTTTTCTCGACTCGTTTAGCTTGTCTGAATGACATGAAAATCGTCGGACGTGTGTGTATGTAAGAGAGCTTCTACTGAAGAATAAATAAACCAGACGTGAATCCCGTCTGACATTGTAACGAATTCCGATTTACATTCAATTTTCTTTTCTCCTCCCTTTTTCTATGTCTACCCGTTTCTTTTCTTGACTACCTTCTCTAATTATCCGCTCCTTTGAAGAATCTTCCTTTTTTGTTGTATTTCGTGACGTGACCTTCTTCTCACATCATGACCAAGAAGATGTCTGTCAAAACGTTGGAAGCACCTAACCATTGATAATCATGTTTTATTCTAGAGGAGTTGATCTCGATAATCATTAATTTTTTGATTTAAAACTAGATCATGCGGGTAGGTTGGTGTTCTTCTTTTTTTTTCATTTTCTCAACTTTGAAACATGAAACAAGACATTTTATTAAACTTTCTGAATCAAATATAATTTATTCGTTAAATTTAAAGGCAACTAAACATTTAAAATAAAATTTTTATTTTTGAGAACTTTATGCTCCAAAAATCTAGCATTTTCACATTCTCATAGAGGCTAGTCGAACAGAACCCATAATCTGAATAGATGAGAATCACAAGCCACAAAACGACTTCCTGTTTCCCCGTTATTCTTCTTTTTGCTCCTCTTCTATTTTTGACTTATTCTTTTTTTTTGGAAAATAGACAAAAAAGAAATGAGAAACCCATTTTGTATGGTTATCCCATGAGAAAAATGAACTCATCAGTCCGTTTTTTCAGCAGAATCATACTTATATCCTATGATGTTTTTCTAGGGAAGCTCGAGATTATCAAATTGCTAGCAAAATTCTGTCAACTTTGTCAGCGGCTCGAAAAAGAGGAGAATGGCAAACTCAATATTTGCCATTTCGCGCTGAGACTGTTTCTCAGTTTCTCTTGTCAAACACATGGTTTTTTTAAATACAAAAGGTCAATTCAAAGTGTCTACTTAAACTGTGTTCCACTTAAGTGTCAAAACTGATTTCAGTGAAAATTCATTGAAATTTGAGAAATTCCATCTGGCGAGGATTCTCTTTTAGTATTGTTGTTCTTTCTTCTTACGCGGAGCCAGTTCGTTGAATATTTTTGAGCTGGAGAGAAGAGACAACTCTCTATCTCTATATCTCTCATTCCCGACAACTATTTTCCTATTTTTGGAGCCTCTCGCTCATGCATAATTTTCTTGTGTGGCCGTTTTTCATCGTTTCTCGTAGACAACTTCCTTGAAAACGAGGAGTACAATTCTCATAGAGTGCAATGAGGATCAACATTTAAATTACTGAAATGGAACGAAATTTCTAATTGGATTTTGAAAATCAGAAAAAGAAAAACTAAACTTGGAAGTAAATTGAATTTTGTTGGTTTAGTTCGAAATATCGAAAATTCTTTAGAAAACTTGAGACGGGAAAAAAACATTATTTACATTGAGGAGGATGAGATTTTTTGACCTGGGTCCGCCTCCTCACCCCAAAAAAGAACCCAAAACCCGTTTTCGTCACCTGAATGTCGCCTAGATCGTTTTACATTAACCTTGAACACAGAATGCATCACTCGTTGTGTCTGAGTTTTTAGACGTCTTTTACCTTATTTGAGAAAAATTCATTAGTAAAACATTAAAGCTTTTTTGCACAAGGAAGCCTAGGAGAAGAACCTCGCAACATTCCTCTTGGACCTCTTTTTTCTCGTGTCACTCATTTATTTTTTCGCTTCTCTTGCCCCTTTTTCTCCTTCCAGTTGGCTGACAAGTTGCTCAACTTGAAAAGTCACAAGGTTGTTCTGAAACAGGAAATTAGCTTTCTAAGTTTTCATGAAAAAAAAAACCTGAAAACAATGTCAGTTTTCATTAGCATTCTCTTCTCCCACTAGTTCTGATTCAGAATCCAACCCCCGCATCTATGTCCTTCTATTTTCAACAGAAGCACCCTACACAATAATCCTAACATTATTGCATCCAGAACCAGACAACATTGGTATGTATGTATTATATTTCTTTTTTTTCTCCCCCAGTAAAACGACTCTCAGTTTTTTTTTCAATTGTGCCACGCTTCAAGCTCATCCTCTTTGTCCATAACTTTCTTTCTCGTTCTGATTCTCTCCATTTCTCTATTAATGTTTCAATTTTTCAGATTGATGGTTCAATATTTGCTAATAACGGCGAACGTCGGATCACTGTTTGAGCCGGACGCTCGCCTGCACAACTCTTGGGTCAAAACTGTTGCTGATGTAGGTTTCAAATTTTCATTCTATTCTATTTCGGTTTTTTCAGCAAGTGAATGGAGTTGATCCATCATTCTTTGTAATTCATCTCCAGGAAACAGGAGGAAAAAAGTTCACGGAATGCTCAAAACAAGTTCCAATCATTATCAACCATCTCGCAAATGCACTTCCCAAATTCGATCTCTTAAGAGCATATGTGGACATTGACTACGAAGCAGTTGAATATACGGTATAATTGTTTGAAAATTTTTGATTTTTCTTTAAATTAATAGTTTCAGGCTCTCGGAGCATTATGCTTTATCAAAAGATCTCTATGGTCCAGTGTCTCACAATTCAATTTCCACACCAAGAAATACGAACAACTCATCAGCCCAACCGAAGTGGTTACTGAAGGCTTAGAGAACTATCCATACGTAATCAAGCACAAATTTCCAAAAGACTTCTGGCCTTCTATCAAATGGGGTCGCAAAGGATACATGCAAACTAGATGGAAAATTGCTAACAAGTGAGTCTTATTCAAATCCTCCATGTTACTGAATTTATTATTCTAGAGTATTCGACTTTGTGAACGCCCATCTCTTCCATGACGAATCCAACTTGGCTCCTATTCATGATGTACGTTTAGAATTTTGATTCAGTGTTTTCAATATTCAGTTTCTCAGAATCCAACACTCTACAGCGAAAACCGGAAACGAGCACTCGACTTTGTGCTCTCTGAATTGTCTGCGATGGAAAATGGCTGCACACCAATGCTTTTCGTATTTGGGGACCTCAATTTCAGACTCGACTCGCGCTCCTTCTTGAATGTAATGAGTGTCTTTTTTCTAAGAAAAAGCGAAGACGAGATGATTGTTATTTTCAGCGTCTCACCGAAAGCACCAATCCTCATTCAGTAGAACAAGAGCAGATGGGTTCTTTGGCCGATGGTCTCCAGGCCCAAAATGGCAATCTTCAAGTCGCCGCCCACCCATCTGAGAATCTTCGGAGGACAGTTTCCGCAATTGAGTTCCGCAGAGATTCAGACAGTGATGATAGTCAAAAGTAGGGAAACATGAAAGGGATTTCAAAAACAAAAATGGTATTTCAGCAGCTGTGTGCTCCGGATTGAAAAGAAGAAGTTCGATTATTTCAATCACAAAAAGCTTCTCGACGACTGGAAGTCCTACAGAGATGATGATAAGGAAGCAGAGAGTTTCAAGAGCATGTTCGAAATGAATATCAATTTTCCACCAACCTACCCATGGAGCGAGGACCCAGAAAACTCGGAAACGCTTATGAAAACCAGAGCTCCCGCATGGTGCGATCGTGTTTTAATGAACAAAGCTGCATTCAGTTTTGTGAAGGATGGAGAGCCAGCGTACAAATCTTTCGGAATGGAGACTTGCACTGGGGATCACAAGGTGAGAGTCATTCCAGAAATTAGGAAAAAACTAATCTTGAGTAATTCCAGCCTGTCATGTTGGCCTTCAACATCTAATACACCTCATTCATTGTTATTACCATCAGCCAGTCTTCCATACCATCTCGAAGCTACGGATATTCAATTACAAAAACTTGGCTCGCGTGGAAAAAATATATTCTCGTCATCCGGTTTAAATTCACGCCAGTCACCCGCCAAAATCAACTCATCTTTAAAATTCCATTTTCCATTTATTTCGCTTTTTCTCAATTTCTAATCTGCTAGTTTTAGATTAAGACTAGCTTTCTTTTTTGGTTCCATTTTTCATATATTGCACGGGAAACAGTTTGAATTCTGCACTTCTTTTTTTTCTAATTACAAAAACAACAACCTCATCATAATCGAAATTATTGTCCTTTTTTCAAATTTCTATTTTTCGGATTTCTCCTTTTTTTGCTTTCTTGTCTCTAGTCCTATTTTGCTTTGCTAATGATAATCTTGAGAAACAGTATCAAATTCAGAATAAAACAAATGGTTTTGATGAAAAAAGACATTTTACTCCAAAGTTAGATGAACAACCAAGATGGAAAAAGGATAAAAAAAAGCATTGCGAAGAGAAAAAAAATCGGATTATGGATTTTAAAAGTCTACAAGTTTCAGGTTTAATTTTACGCTACCAAAAAAGGTGATTTAATAGAGAAAAAAGAAGATTGCGATGTGGGACGGGGATCGGTGGAAAGTGTGTTCATCAGTCAGTTGTTCATTGTTGAATAGCCAATTGTGGAAGTGGGGCCTCGACGGTGAGAACTCCGTCAGTGGAGAGAGTCGACGAGATTTGCTCTGGGTTGGTGCCTCGTGGAAGAAGGAATTCCTGGAAATGAGAAAAATATTTAATAAAAAAACGTTAATACCAGAGTGAATACAAAAATTTTACTTAGGCCCGAATTCTCTCGGTTACTGGGATAGCTAGCAAAAAACTTTTAGCAAAGAATTTGCTTTTGATATTGTGTAAAATTATTTATCAGGGATATTTGTGATTTATTAGCATTTGATAGCCCTTACAGATACCGAGAAAACCGAGGTTGATTAAATCAAAATGGACTGCCAGATACATTCTAGTTCTAAATTTTGAAGTTTAAACAACTTTCAGCATAGCTTCAATTTTTAATATGTAAATACAGCAATTGAAGATAATTCACATAAATTGTGCTATTTCTGTTTTCAGTATTTGAAATTTTTCGCTCCGACCAAGGCTCATCCCTATGAAATAATAATATTCCAATTTACCTGGTTGTACTCTCTGAAGACGGTTCTCTGTGGAGTCTTCTCCTCGTGCTTAGCGTGGACGAGAAGACGATTGTCGATGGTTTTGACAGTCACCTCCTCTGGCTTGTAGTTGGCCACGTCGAATCTGCAAAAAATTAGGATAAATCAGAAATTCTTCTTTTATTTTTTTTGTTTAATCACTGGGAAAAAAAATCAATACCTGAGACGAAGAGTCTTTCCATCGCTCTCATCCTTGATGAGTGGACTCTTCAAGTTGTCCAAATATGGATCGTAGGTTGGACGATGAGCCATCAAGTCACTTGGTCCTGCAAAAAGAAGAATATAAAATAAAAGAATGAATGAAAAGCGCGAGGTAGGAGCACAAAAGAGGCTCGTCTCCGAGGTTTCGGCCCGAAATGTTGCCAAGCTGCCGGGGGCACCAAGGTTATCCGTCGGAGCATAGTGACGAGCAAGATGTGAATAAAACCATAGTGTAATAAATTCCGCTGTTCAAATTGCCAGTGTGAAAAGAAAATTGAGAGGGCCCTCTTTTCGAAAATTGGGAGAAGAGCAATAACAATGCAACAAAAAACAATGGACAAAGTTTTTTGTTCTGAAATTTGATAGGTCATATGCCCATATAGCCTTTGCTCTTTAGCATTCGAAAAAAAATGAGGAAATATTTTAAAAGAATAAAAACAAATAATTCGAGCATTTTTTGGAGAGGAAAAAATCCTGAAAAAACGGACAATTTTCGGAATTGTGCAATTGGGAATTTCCAACGTCACATTACTCTATACTTTAGGACCTTGACCCTTTTTTCTTCCTCCTTTCAAATGCTAGAAAATGCAACCAAAGTTAGAAGGACGGGAAAAGTTGAGCCTCTTCTTCAACTATCATGCTCACTTTGAGTATTGCTCTGATTGATGAGTTGGGGCGAGTTTAGGTTCAAAATGAGGATGAAATGATGTTTATGGGCATGGAATAGAGGGTAAAGATGAAACGGGCGTGAAAAAAGTTTTTGATGCCCTTCGCAGATAATTTCCGACGCTCACTATGATGCCTCTATTCCAATTTTCCATTCCATTTCACTCTCCGTCAAAATTCGGAAATTCTTCGAGATGCATTATCTTCAAAATGCGATAGAAATTTTATTCGTGTTCTCGAAACCAAATCAAAAATCCAGTTTGAAAAATATTTTCAAGAGAAAGCGTTAGGATAAGGGGTCGTCTCTGAGAAAACATGTTTTGCATGGCTAGTTATTCGGAACACGACAACAAAAAAAAGAGATGAAAAAAGGCGAAGGATGAAGAAGTGCCTAAGCATACATGCAGCCAAAAGAAGCACATTTTTTTTCTCATTTTGCTTCTTTTTGCTTGGTAACATTTTTGCAAAGTTTGTTTCGAATGTGCTGTTCCCAATCAGACGAAACTTTTATTTAAATATAAGAACTATTTTTGTAAAAACAAAAAACAATCTGCTCACCGTGGAATGGCTGAAGTGGAGCTCCAAATCCTCCGGTACGGTTCGATGACTCGTGGTGAGAAGAAGTCGTCGAGTAGGCGTTGTACGGTTGATTGGAAATGGCAGCCGGTGGTGGTGCGCCTCCGTTTGGACGATAACCTGCAATCATGAACCGTCGAACCTCTTTCTTCCCGACTTTTCACTTCTCCGCGCAAAATTGACCTTGTCTTCAGTGTTTCACTAATTGACGCATATAGTATGCCTTTTCGCGATTTTAGTACACTTCAATTGAAGGATTGGGAAAATATTGAAAATTGGAAAAAAGCGCCAATTTCTCAGAGAATGAAAAAGCGGTAAACGTGGATTCGTCAACAGAATTGGCGCAGTTCCAGTGCATTAGGCGCCGCGAAAATGAAATTTGGTCATCGAGGGTCCGGAAAATGACGTTGTTCTCGTTTTTTTCCTTCTTTTGTGTTCTGGCTCCGTCTTCTGGACGTTTTGCTTTTTTCCCATAACATCGTCAAAAGGCTTTCAGTCAAAATAAGTGGCCAGAATTGAGAGGGAAAGAAAAGTCATTTCTGCAGGCGACAACAACATTGGATAAACATTTATCCCCATTTTTTTCTGTTTTTTTGAGATGTTTACTAATGGATTTCTGATTTTTTTATTCTTATTACGAAAAACTAAAACATTTTCTGGACTAGAGAATATTGAATATTGGAGCTGAAATACAATACTGGTCAATAAGTTAGGAATTTTTACCATTTTAAGTGTGTGGGCACAACGGTTAAGTGTCCAATTTTCTTGAAATGTATAGAGGGGGGTAAAATAGGTTTACATTGAAAATTTTGCATTCACATAATTTTTTTGAAAACCCCCAGTTTTTCATCTTTTCACGAGTACAAAAACGTATGTCTTTCAGAAATCGGCAAATAGCTGGTAAACTAGGAATTCTCAGAAAATTCTGACAATGCATAGCTTTCAATCTAGATCTGTTTTACATCCTCTAATTTTTTCCAAGTGGTCTGAAATTTGACAGCCAAGCTCCAGACTCCTGAAAAATAACTGAAAATTGAATGAGAAATACAATTTTATATGTGTTATTGATTGGTACTGTATGAACTTTCTAATTTTAATATTTTTGCAAGCAACTGATACTCCATAAACCGTTCTCACCTTCAAACTCGCTGCGAAGGCGCTTCATCTCCTCTTCAACACGACGCATCTCCTGCTCGAAGCGATCGCGCATGTTTCCGAACTCATTGTCGATGACCGAGTAGTTGGAACGGTTGACGTCGATGCGGCGTTCCGACATTTCTCTGCAAAACTTGACAAAATTCCAGTATTTAAACGTTTTTCGATAGAGATAAAAACTCATATCAAATGATGACACCGTATAGGGTCGTTAAAGAACGTGCAAAGCTTCGCAAACAAAACCGTAAAACTTGAAACTTTTGAAATTGAAACGTCACGGGATGAAAAGAAATCGGAAAGAAAAAAGGACCGGAAACATTTTTGCATACCTGCGAGAATAGGAATAAGTACGAGAGGAGTGTGTTGATGGCATTATGTGAGATAGAGAATGAAAAAGTTTTTTATTGTGGCGGCGATGTATGAAGCTCTGTATAGAGCGGGACGCTTTCTTTTTCACTTTTGTACGGCTTGTGAAAGCATTTGGCAGAAAAAATATCGGTAGAGAGGAAAAGGAGAAAAAAGCATTTCCATCATCATCATCGTCGTCGTCAAAGCACATTCCAAAGTTCTGAATTATTGGAAAAAAAACGCTTTCTCCCGATTCCAGGAAGTGTGAATGTATTCTTTCCTATTCTTTCCTACCGTAGAAGCGAGTTATTTTCGCCGAAGCCAAAAATTTAGGTGAGTGGGTCGCACGGAGTTTTTCTAGAAGCTTTGAAAAATTATTTTTCCAATATTCAAAAGTGCGGTCATACGAAAGATTTTTAGATTAAGCTGGATGAGATGAGATTGTCTTTTTTTTGAGAATTTTCAGTAAACAATCACTCGAAAAATTCGAATATCACAGAGCATCAAGATCGGGAATTTAGAAACTTAGAAACTTAGAAACTAAAAGTGTTTTGAATATTCTGAATTCTACTGAGAAAAAAATATAGACCTTGCGTATTTCGGAAAATGACGCTATGAAATAATTTTCGGATAAAAATGAATTAGCTCCAAAGGGTATTAATGTCAGGAGGAATGAAATTGAGAACAAGATACTGAACAAACGGAAAAATATGAGCTCCCAATTAAATAGTGGACAAAGACTAGAGTGAGACGACTGAAACAGCAGCACATAAGAATATAAGAAGAGAGACGCATATGTGTTTGTATGTTGTGTAAGCTAACATCTTTGCACTCCATCCATCCCAATGTAAGAAATGAGTAAGGGGGGTTCACTGTCTTGAACTCAATATTTGTTGTTTAGTTTATGTGGGTGTTGTTAGGAGGGCCCGAGGGGGTGTAGATGAGCACCGAAATACTGCTGAGGGGTAAGAGGATATCAGGGAGCCAGCTGACAAAAAATTAGAGGTGCCCCGATGGCAAGACGAGAGGGAGGAGATGGGATTTGTCAAAGGACCCCATTTTGTTGTGTCCGAAAGAAAGCGCCAGGTCGACGCGCCGTGCTGTAATATCACAGCTGTATTCGATCAATTTTTGTTGATTTCTTCTTCTTCTTGTGAACGCAGAAGTGTTGAGAAGAAATCGGGATTGAATGAAGATGTATAAAACTGGGTTGAATGATAACAACATGCGCGCGTATTCAGCGTTCTACTTTGATTTACTGGCCAGACAGATACATTATGATGATAAACATGTAAACAATAAAATATGTAGCGTAGAATGCTAGTTGCATGATTCTAGAAACATCTCCGCTACTACCACTAAACGTATCTATGCAACTGTTCAAGGTGAGAATAGAGAGAAAGAGAGAAAGACAGTACAAGTACATCGGACGCCCCTTTTCATGGCCAATTCAAAATTCCTCCTCTTTCATCGAATCGTTCATCATACTTGATCCTCTCGTTGCTTACTTGTGCCCGTTTATCCGTAGAAAAAGACAAAAAGCAACGAAAAGACAAGTAAACATCACACGCGGGAATGCAGAATGTCCTGGCGGGAGAAGAGAGAAAAATTTGCGAAAAGAGTGTAGAAATTAGCAGAGAACTTTGAAAAAAGAGGGTGAAAAAGAAAAAAGGAATGAAAAATAGGACGGCGCACAGGTAATGATGCAAGAAGGGTATAGACAGAGTGAAATGGTGATGGGACTGACGATTGGATGATGATGCGTGTGTTTGGTTGGCGGGTTGCCCTCTACTGGTAATCTCCTTGCTACTGCTTACCTAGAAAAAAACGTTTCGGGAACTTTCTAGAAGCGAGGACACGGAACTGTACTTTAGAAAAAAATAGTGAGAATAAAACCTTTGGTCGCTTAATCGACCTAATTTGATATGAAAGAGAAAAGAGAGATGTGATAAGAAGAAGAAGTATATTTTTAAACGTATTGAGCGTTCTTCCTCACACGACTGTTTCGAAATTATTTCAAAAAATTTCACAGCAAAGCAGCAGAATGTTCTAGGCGCCTTCTAAAAAAATCTACCAAAAAAAGAGGATCAGGAAAACAATGACACTAAAACTGCTTCACAGCTTCTTTTATACAAGTATTATCACGTGTGGGTTTGATGCAATTATAATAGAAAACTACTAGAATAACACCCCCACCACACCCAAAAATTTGATGAGCCACACCTAGTTTTTAGCGATGAGCAAGAAAATTTTTATCATTTTTGAAGAAAGAGCCACAGGCTTCCGGTACTATTGTTTACTAAAAATGAAATCGGCATCTGGCAACTGTACTGGGTGCGATGGATTCCAGAGAAATCGAAATAGCACTATCAGGTCAGCAAAATAGGTTAGTTTGCAAAATAATAGCCCTCCTCAAACACAACAATACCATTCGAAAATTCGGCGGGCATATTCAAATTCAAAAAATGCGGCTCTCACTTTTGTGATGGTGACGAACAAACAATGAAATAAATAGAAGAGAATGAGAGTGTATTTGCATGATCGTGAATTTTTAATGTTGTCCATACACAACAAAATCCATCCGTTTTGGGGTCAATGATGACTAGGCGTCAGCATGATGGCACCAGTGATTGTGTTGACACTGACAACGCTCTTATTGAGTTAGCACAAAAAAGTTTCTGAGTTGCAGGGAGAGAGAGAGGAAGGAAGCACAGCGGATGAGGGGGGGGGGGGGGGCGAAATAAAAAATAGCACAGTGAAAAGACAAACAGTTTTGCTCTCTCTCTCTCTCTCTCTCTCTCTCTCTCTCTCTCTCTCTCTCTCTCCCTCTCTCTCTCTCTCTCTCTCTCTCCCTCTCTTCCTGTTTCCGATTTTACCGTTACCAAAGCATTTGGAATTAACTCGAAATGCAAACAGAAGACAAAAGAGAAGAGGTTGTGTTGATTCATATGCTTCTTTTTTCTGCTAATCAGAACGAAAAATGAAAGTTTTGGAGCTAAAAAGAAGAATTTAGACAATCTTCATTTTCTCAATTTTCTAAGGCATGTCTGTGCAAGTTGTTTAAAACGGAATTTGGAATAAAGAAAATTTTGAAATTCCGAATATTTTTTTGGAATATTTCAGATTTTTTCAAATGAAGCAGAGCCCTTTGAACTACAGTTATTCAAAAACTCACGCGGAAAATTTTCTTTGCGAGTCTCCAGCGGAACTACTTCGGAATTACAATTTTCTTTTTGATTTTTTTGAAATTGTTTGTCAATTTTATACCAATCAATTTTTGCTTTTGTGATGAGAAAATGGGATTATGAATTTCTAAAATTGTTCAAAATCGGATTATTTTAAAATTAGGAACTTTTCTACATCGGAATTATCCGAAATTCAAAAATTTTCTTTTATAAAACTTAATATTCCGAAATGCTTGAACTCAAGGAATTTTTGACACTGGAAAATTCCCAAAAAGCCATTCCGAACATCACGGAGACTGTGCAAGTCATAAATTGTTGGAATGGAAAACATCATGGTTTCTAAGAATATACAAAAAAGGTCCCAAAATACTTTTTTGTCTTCAATATAAACTTTTGAGTAGTTCCAACTTCAGAGCCAGTAAATTCAGAAATTCTAGAAAGTCCAATACAACAAAATCACTAAGATGTATTCAATCAATTATGTTTCACTCTACCAGTTTTGGATACCATTTTAAACATTCATTCAGTAGATTATTACAATTAAAAAATCGTTTATACTAGTCAAGGATCTAGTCAAATCACTGTGACCATTTTGAACGAATTAAAACTGAAACAATTCAATTATCAGTCAAAATTACTGGATGGGAGAGGTTGATGGGGGAAGAGCGGGGAATAGGAAATTTTCGGCAACTTGAAAAAAAATGGAAAAAAAGAGTTTGGATTTCCGTTTCGACGACACAATTGCATGAAACCGAATGAAATGAACACAAGAAAGTGAAAAACACAAAAAATGAACAGAATTTAGAAAACTGTAGAAGAACACTACATAAATAATTAAAGTGTGCATTGTGAGGAGAAGTTTTAGGGAGACAGAGAGGGTGGAAGAAGGAGGAAGGAAATGAAAAATGACTCCCAAAAAGTGTAGCAATAGGTATACTGTGATAATTTTAGTTTGTGTTAAAAATTGTGAATTGGTATTAAGGATTTTTCCCGATGAAATTACTGAAAAATGGTTTCTTTTCTATTACTCGTGATCTATTTCAGAATAAAAATTACGCAAAGTTTTCTAGATGTGTGACATTTTGTCTTGAAGGGATTCAAAATTGATAATCGAAGAAAAAATGTTGAGATGGGAGACTGAAGTAGCATTAAGTACCAACTTTTGAGATTTTTCAGAGAAAAAAAGATTTTCAACAAATTTGAATTACACGTAGGTGGACAAATCATAAATACAATTATGCGTTGTTCGCCTCATTGATGCTTTTCTTGGCGGCGACGATCAGATAGTACAGCGATGCTAGTGGTTTGGCACAACGGAGGAACTGATGAGTGAGTAGTTGACTGGCCGACCAACGTTTCTCCACTAACACTTCCAGTGCGGAATCGACAAAGTCCTGAAAAAAGATGATAAAGGGATACTTTAGAATGCTGTGGCAGTTGACTCATGTTCCTCATAACTGTACAAGTGTGAATCACACAAAAACCGGAAATCATACCTTGAACACTGGACTCATTGTGTCTCTTCCCGGGAAATCTGGCTTTCCATTGGTTGCAATCAAGTAGATGGCCTTAAATGAAATTGTTTGTTGAGTTTTTTATTTTATTATTGCTCTATGTCAGCCAAGACTGTCGGAAACAGCCTCGATTTTTTTGTTTGAAATAACTCTGGGATAAGTAGGATTCGGCGGCCTAGCCGCTCTTGAAATTTTTGTTTCGGAAAAATGGACGATTTCGTCCACAGCAATCTGCTTGAAATCCGGGCCACGGGCTCTGTGTTCGACAGTTTTGGTGTCACTACGACAATTATCACATAAGCCTCTTACCCTCAATGGGTTCTCATTCAAGTATGGTGGTTCCCCTTCGACCATCTCGATAGCCATGATACCCAGAGACCACACATCGACTTTTGGTCCGTATTGTTTGCGGGTCACCACTTCCGGGGCCATCTGGAAAATATTCAAACATTAATTTCCTTCGCTGCCAGTTTTTCAATTTCCTTTCCCCGTCTGTCTATTTCTGATCACTTACCCAGTATGGAGTTCCGACCATCGTCGTGCGTTTTCTTTGTTCCGGTGACAGTTGAGCACAGAAACCAAAGTCAGCTGGAAAATTAATTTCGTCTAGTTGATAGTTGGAAAACATCGGTACCATTTTTGATCATTTCAAGAAAACAACTCACTCAATTTGACAGAACCATCCATTCCAAGTAGAATGTTGTCCGACTTGATATCTCTGTGAATCACATGACGACTGTGCAGGAACTCAAGAGCTTGCAGCACTTCTCTGCACACTGCAGCAATAATTCCATCCTCCATTTGACACTCCGTGACAACATCCGTGAGTGATCCTCCGGCTAGATACTCCATCACAACCCACAACTCCTCGCAAACCAAATACGAATCCAAGTAGTTGACAATGTTGGCGTGCTTGTTCTCACGCATCACCAGGATTTCGTTGATGATCAACTCCTTCTTCGGCTGATCTTTCAGGTTCATCTGCTTGATAGCGACTTCTGCTTCTGTGCTGATTTCAATAGCAGTGTACACTGATCCTGAAGCTCCCGACCCGATTTTGTCAACTTTTCTGTATTTTCTATCTGGGTTTCCAATAGAGACAATTGTTCGAAGCTTAGCGAGAACTTCAGCGTCCGTCATCTTCTTCTTCCCTTTTGGACCACGAGCCTGAACTCCGAATTGACCATTCTGGAGGGAAAGATCCGGAATCTTTTCTTCCTCCTCCTTGGGTTTTGTGTACTGAAAACGAGATACTTTATGTTTGAAAGCAATTTTTATTAAACTTACGATGCTCAGCGTCCGTGCCGGTCTGTCTGGAATTGCTGGTGGAATGATGTCCGCTGGTGATTCTCCGTGTGGGACTGGAGGTGGTGCATAATTTTGGAACAATATTGGTCTATGCGTATTCCAAGAATTACGTAGGCAAACCGAAAAAAATGTTAGTAAAACACCCCCTTTCCGGAGGCATACTGGATCGATTTTCATTGACATTGAATACATTTGGAGGGATTTCTGGCTTGCTGTGGTATCCCAAGTTATTGATACTCGTTGTCATAGAGTTCATCGTTCGTGGATCGTGAATTTTATTGCCATGATATGGGAGAGAAGATGTTCTATTCGGTTGTGGGTTCAATCCATACGACGGTGTCCGTTGTGGGGCATCATTTATAAACCCTGTAGAAGAAAGAGCTCGTTTAACAAGTTTTGCCCCCCCCCCCCCGTGGTAAACTCACTCATATCGTACTGCAACCATTTCTGACCGCTGCTTTCTCCTTGTGTGTAGTATTTGAGAGCGTCAAGAACGGCTTGTGGATTTTGTTGTTGTTCTTGCTTTGAGATCTGCGAATCTGTGAGAAGACGAGCCCATGCTTCTGGCATTCCCTGTAATAACAAGTTAGTTTCAATGGGTTAGTAGTAAATAACGTATTTGCGACTAATATGACGTAACAAGAAAGCCAAGTTCTAAGAGAGAAAGTGTTGGCAGTCGCAATCTGTTTGCATCCACTGAAATTGATTTCAGCTATCTTAACATACCAACTTTCTACATACGTTCACTTACTCGAGCCATAATTATTAGGGAAAGTTAGTTTTACGAGAAACAACTCAAAAACTCTATTGTCACCAAAAACAACTGGGTATAAAAAGTAAAAGTAAGTAGTAGTTTTCAGTTTTTAAGCTCACTATTAGCATTCACTCTACTAACGATAATCTGGTATGATTAGCGATACTACGGCGTGGTGCCCGGCGACAACGCCTCTCGTCCATCATCATCACAAAAATTTGAATGCTTCTCAGTGAGTTTGGGAAACTAGAACTGGGTTGGAAGACTTACAGTGAATTCTCCGGTTTTGGGATCGTAGCCGACATGAATTGTGTGCTCGAAATTACTGGGTCTTGAGATCACTGGCTTCTCTGCTGCCTCCTTCTTATCCTTGTTCTCTGAAAATGGTACAAGAGGTTGGAAAAGGTTGACTATTCGAGACTATAGATTACTTTTCATAAACGGGTTAGGCATCGTCTTCTTCTTTTTCGTTACTTCTGGCTCTTTGGGCAATGGCTTCAATCCGACGACCTGAAAAATTGAGTTAGTCAAACACATCAGAGGAGGAGGGGAGATGGAAAAAAGAGAGATTGGGGGTGGCTGGGAGGAGCAACACGTGCATCATCTGATTTGGAAGAAGACTCTACGAAAGTTGTTGGCGAGGGAGCGATACCCTCTTCTGCCTCTTTTCCTAATGGGGCGGAGGAGGGTCAACTTCTCCATCTCCTCCAAACTCCCATTGAAAATAATTAATTACCTGATTTTCCCGTGTTGCTGAGCTGCTGAAACGAATCGGTGGTGCTGGTGGTTTCTCATCGTAAGATGAGAACGCTTTCATATCGGACAGTCTGAAAATAAGACGATGATACGTGAGGAAGTATTACAAATAAGAAAAAAAGGCAAATTGAGGAATACAGTAAGCGACAGAGTCACAAATTAGGAATAATTGTCTAGCTATCGAAAACTGTTTATGTTTCCTCATGAATAGAGTCATCAAATGGGAGCTAATATGAAGTTATAGAGCCAAAACATGTGGATTCTTAAAAATGGAGAAAAGGCAGATTGCTAGTCGCCCCACACTTTCACTCAAAAAAATGTTGGATGACTAACAAAAGAGGGAAATTGATAGCGGAAATGATGTAAAAGGGACATGAGTAACCTTATGAAAACGGGACTTGCTTTTTTATTCCAATATGGCTATGGGAAAGGAAATGAGAAAGAGATCTAGAAGGGAGTCGATGGATGAAAAACGGGTAAAAATTCTATATGAAAAGCAAATGTTTCTCTTTTTTTTTTCGCCACTTCTCATTTGCATTATTGCTTCCAAAGAGTCGCGTATTTCTTTCTTTGTTGCCAATGTTTGACGTGAGTTTGACCGGCAAAAGATGGATGGCTTTTTGGTTTTTGTTGGAAAGAGAGATTTCGAAGTTTAAAACAGATGATGAATGATGAATAAACTGGGCTTACAGAAAGGAACAACAGTTTTTGGTGGTTTAGAGGAAATAAAGCACTAAAAGTGAGAAAGTGATATGAGTCATGCATGTTTCACTTCATTTTTTATCAGACGTTCACTTTCACATTTTCCGCATGCGTCAAAATGATTTTTGCGTGTGTGGGTGGTTTTTCACACTCTAAAACCAAAAAATAAAACAACATCAGTAGTAAGAGTAACACAAACTATGCAATTGAGAACGAACGAAACGACGCGTGTATGCGTTCGAAATTCTTTTCTAGTAAGTTACGAGGTGCAATGATGTTGGAAAACTAGTTTTAGGGAGAAGAGAAATAAAATTGTTGGACGCATACAGGTGAGTGGAAACGTATTACTTTTCACTTTAGTAGTGTGGCTGGAAGTGGTTTGAAACGGCAAGCAAATTGGGTATGAAGCCGTTCAAATGTAAAATAAAAAAAATGACCTGGTGGTAGGATAGAATAGAATAAGAGCTGAAAGTAATAGAAAATGACTGAGTACTTCATTTTGCGAAATCTAATTCAGATCTACCGTTAACGCTTCAATAGAAGTCCACCACTGTTGAATGAATTGATTCGTTTCTTTCCTAAAATATCAATTAACTGTCATCTGATGAAATATTGGGGGTACGACGAATTCGAACGTTTTCAAAATCGAACAGACCTAAAATCGAACAGATTCAATTCAGAGACTTTTCGATATCTTTTAAAGGAACAAAGTTAATTGATCTCAAAGCTGACCGTTTGGGTAAGCTTGTATTAGAAAAATACGAAAACAGAGGAAATACGAAAACAAACTATGTTTAATATAATTTTGACCGTTTTTTTGATTGACTTTTTGAAATGTCTTAGACAAACTTAAGCAAATGGGTTCAAATTTGAAGGGTCCAGTGCAATTCTATGTAGTATTTTTTCTTACGAATCCGGACGTTAGTAAACAATGTATAGTTCTGGCATAGATATATGATGAACACGTGCTTTTCAGTTGATTTTGACTATTTTGAGGCGTCTGGAGCTCTGCCGTTAATTGTCCGGAAAATCCTAGTTTCCAGCTATTCGACGATTTCTGAAGGACACCCATTTTTCCTATTTTTGTACTGAAATGTTAGAAAAAAGTGTCTTTCGGAAATCGGCAAACAACTGATAAACTAGGAACTTTCGAAAATTCTATGAATGCAAAGTTTTTAATCTAGGTCTGTTTTACAACCTTCACAATTTTCAGTGATCCGACAATTGACAGCCGAGTACCAGACTCCCAAAATCAACAAAAAAAGATTTTCCATACATTCATGGCCAGCACTGAAACAGCAATGATGTTTGTTTCCAACCAGGATTAATTGCGAAAATTTCAAATTTCAAAATTTTTAGATTTTTCTTCCAAGCAAAAACCAAAAACAATCATTTCGAAATCGAATAAAACTGATTTCAACGATTTTTTGTTCCTAAAAAGGTTCTGACTCATAACTGAATTGATTTCTAGAAGCTTAGAAATTTGAAAACGATCCATTCAAAGTTCAAAAAATGGTTTGAAACCTTGATATTTGCCAGAAATGCAAAACGGCATTTGTGTTTGTTCTGAACGCACCTTGTCCGAGTGTTATCAGTTTAGGGGAATCAAGAAAAAAGGGGAAGATAGAAGAAGAGACTGTGAGATAACTAGTACTGCCCCGGAGGTTGCCGGGATTGCGGGAAAAAGACCGGGAATTGATAAAGAGCCTACAAGTACGGAAGGTTAGAGCGAGAGGGCTGGAGGATGTCTCTGGAGATAAAATCAATCGATAGCGGTCAAATGAAGGAGAACACACACACACACAGACAAAGACATACGCACACACGTTTACACGGGAAGAACCTATGGAGGGGATTGAAAGGAGGGAGTAAGAGATTGGAGTAAAAGAGATAGCGAGAACTTGGACAACGAACCTAACATCTCGACCCCGACACTTATCATTTGAACAGAAAGCTGAGCACATTGGTGTATCCCAAGTTTTTTGCTCATTTCCCTGATAGATGAGCAATACAGTAACAAAACGTTTTGACAAGCAAAAGTTTCTAAGTATTCGAAATATATTTCCTGGCCGCTCCCGACACAACCGAATGAGCGAATCCAGTTTCTTGATTTTTGTTTGACATTTGTCTGATATATCTTGCCGAGAAAAGTTGCGCAGTGTGGGTTAGGGGCACCAGGCGCGATCGACAAGAATAATTTTTATAAAAGAACAGAGTGAGATCGTTAGAGGACTTTGATTAATCTAATTATAAGAATATATCATCAGTTTTGAGGACGATGGAAACAAGAGTCAAATTGCGGGAATAGGAAGACCCGGGAGTAAAGGGAAAGATCCTATCACCGTGTCATCTCAATCCTCGCCTTGCCCTCGGGGGGTTTCACTTTCATTTTGGATACATGAAACCTTCCTGTGTTTGTGTATGTTATCAATATATCTATATATCAAGCACATTCGTACACAGGACGATCACTCACTTATTCATTGAAATGTAGCGAGAATTCCCCCCTAAACACTTCCTTTCAAAAAACTAGTTTTGACCTCCCCTGTCGTTTCAAATTTGGATCAATCTTATATCAATTATTGTTTTCTACTTGATAACAACGGTATTCTTTAACAATTAATAAGAAAAAGAATTTCCTGGAAATGCGGACAAGAAGATCGAAATGTTTGTTCAAAGTTCAAGAAAGTAATGGAATTGCTGGGAGGACGGAAATATGAGAGTTCTTGTGCCAAACTATTGAAATTGCAAAAAAAAACTTGGGTAGGCAAACAAAATGTTTGTGTATTATTTAAGAAACACAAGGATACTTTTACAAGATAAAATAATCGTGAAGGGTCAAACAACCTTTATCTCTGATAGGGAAATTAAGAAAAATGATTTTTCTCAGTTACAATAAGATATTAAACGTAAAAAACAGAATTTCAGCAAAACTATGGGATGTTTTTAAAGCTCTTAGGATGGATCCCCAACATCAGTTACATTACGGGCCACCAAGATATATAAAAACATACTGTCACATTACTTTTAGTCATTTTGACCATTTTCAATGATCTGGAGCTGGGCTGACAAGTTTCCGGTCATTTAAAACATTTTGGAGGGTGTAAAACAGACCGAGATTGGGAACATTGCATTTTCTTTGGATTTTTCGAACATACTTGGTTTTCAAGCTAATTGCCGATTTCTTTTTTTACGTTTCCAGTACAAAAATTTGCACAATACTGAGTTTTTTCAGAAATAAGTTCAACATTTTCAAACTAAGGTTGTTTCACATCCTCTGAAATTTTAAAAGTGATTGGTAACTTGACAGCGGAGCTACAGAATCCTGAAATGAGTCAAATTGGCCAAAAACCAACTGAAAATAATGTTTTTGTATCTTTTTGACTCAAAATTTCCAAAGATCGAATTGATTAAAAAAGATCTAACTGATTAAAAAATAAAATTTCACGGAATTGTCATTTGAAAAAAATCAACATTGAGGCTAACTCAAATTATCAAGCCGGCAGAAATTTTCAAAAAATTGATTCATGTCGCACGATTCAAAAGTTTAAAATAAAATGTTATGTCAGTTTCTAGAAATGTTCTCACATTTTTTTGAAAACTGAGCACGTTTCAAGTATAAGCCGCTTCAAAAATTTTGTGCAACGATCAGAACCAATAGATAAGAATTCTTATACTGCTCACAAAAAAACGTTTTTAGGTTACCAAATACGCCTGACTATGCAAAAGAAACAGAAATAAGATTCTCGGACAACTTCTTCTATGAATGGGTTATGTAAACAGATGATGATTGGGGGTGGGTAGTGGTGTGCACAGCCAGTCCGCAGAGAAAGGGCCCTTTCAACTTCCACCATCGTCTTGTGTCTCTATGAAAAGGTCACTTGCGACGGATTGGTGGATTTGTCTAATGTCTCTCTCATCTCTTGTATCATCATCATCCTCCCCATCAGTGGGAAAGACAGGGGACCATGTTTATGAGACAAGAGCGTGTGAGTAATGAGTGTTTTGGAGCATACTTTCAAAGATTACACACATACACACAGACAAACACAGATTTCTCCTTGAAACGAGAGAAAAGAACAGAACGGATACGAGAATTGTTATACATTCCAGGCATTGTTCTGACAAGGTTCCAGAGACCATTGTGAACTTGAAGGATGAAAAAAGTCTCAAGGATAACTTGCGGCAATTGAACAGAAAACCCCCTCGAGAGATAGCATGCATTCGAAATTACGCTGTTCCGAAAGGTCACAAAAGAGGCACATTTAATGAGAGTTTTAAAACTATAAAACGGAGGACAATCGGCACTTTTTTTTGATTTCATCTTGTATCCTTTATGAATAGGGACGAATGCTTCATACACAAACACAGCCAATTTCCAAACTAAACAAACTATTTGAAAATTTTACCCGCGAAATCTGGTGTAATACGGAATGGATTGAGTGGGTCTATGTGTGTGTGTGTGTGTGGTGGTAGTGGGGGACTAAGTGGAAAGTGCACCGGCAGAGTAAATGGTTTGAGAACGAGCGATTCGGAGAAAATAAAAAACCGGATTTGTTTTAGAGGGTTGGTAACCTTTTATATCACTTAAGCGCGTATGGGATTGGGATTTGTGGTTGAACTCATGATCTGGGAAGGAAAATGTTTTGACAAGAAAAAGAAAAAGATGAGACAAAAAGGAGAAATTGGGATTCGAACAATTTTCATTTATTTTTCAAGGGTCAACAGCTGGCATCTCAGAAAAACTCAGAAAAAGCTTTAGACTGACCTTGGACATGAAACAAGTGGACAGATGTATGTATAAATCAATACACAAGATGTGTAAAGACAAGGAAAGAAAGAGGGAGGGGTAGTTGGTCCCTATATAATTAAAAACAATGAATTTATACTCTACAGAAAATTCACTTACTGATTATCACAGGTCCTACTTCTTCGAGAAACGCAACAAAAAATCCGTTCGATTGGTCGCATATGTTCCGGAAATGTGAAGGAACACCACAGGAAATTGGGAACCTTTTATTTGAAGTGCCCAATGTGTGTATACACAACGCACAGTGTACTTGCGGACTGTGCATCACATCTGACGACATCTTGCTGGTTTTATTATTTCTTGCTTATTTCATGTTCATTCTGTCGCATAGTTTGCTATTTATTGCTCAATCAAAATTCGCATTTTTTCAGATGGATTTTTTCATGAAATTTGCAAAAAGTGATGTCGGACAAATGGCGATGAACACCGTCAGACAGAACGTTGAGGAAAGAATCAGAGAATACGCCGACGCACAGCAAAAAGCAGCCGGTTCAACGTCTCAACCACATAATCCACAAGCTCAGTCGATGGTGAGGTTTGGAATCTGAAAATTTTATGGATAAAAACTCTGATATAGTTGTTATGCAACATTTTGTCGACGCCACGCAAAAACCAATCACAGCCAATATCTCACCATTTTTTACGAAAATGATTGTCTTGAAAGCTGTCAATCCCATAAAATCAAAAAAAAAATCATGTTTTTAGTGGCCAGGACCAGTCGATAAAACTCTGTACTTCGCTGTCGACAAGAAACTCTCGCCCAGTTTCGCGATTGCCAAATATGGAGACGGTTTTGCACTGGTGTACATTCCAACTAACTACGTGAGACTTTTAACAACAAACTCCCAGCGAAAATCTATGTTTCAGATTGTCTATTTCCACAAAAACGTATCCTACATTGACGATCTTGAATATTTATGGAAGGAATACGACGATTGTCTTCAGGAACTGACTAATCCGATGAACGTTGTCAATGACATTGTGCCCATGATGCTGAGAGAGAAGGAGATACAATCGGAGTGTGCCCCGGTGTTTTTCGCTATCATCGCTGGCTTCACCAAGTATATCAAAGATCAGAAAGAGAAAGCTGGAATGGGGTAAGCTCTCATAGCTATCAAATCGGAAAAAAATCGATAATTTTAGATTCTCAATGTCAAAAGTGAACCGTCGAGGCGATACGCCAGTGCATGTCGCTGCTCAATATGGATCTGCTGGTCTTGTCCAATTGCTGTGGGATGAGTGTTTCGATCCACTAGTCAGAAATAACGATGGACACACTATTCTGCAAGCGGCGAGGTCTCGCCCGGATATTGTAAAGGTTGTTAGCATTAGTTTTATTCTGTGTGGCAAACAATAATTCACTTTCAGTACATCAACAGCCATGTCAAAAGTGAAGTATGCGATCAGATGATTTTGTTGGCTCAAAATCAACCAAAACCGGATGAGCCAACGTATCCCAAGTCTTTTGAGACTATCCTAGGTAAGAGGACTCGTAGGAAGCTTAACAGATAGGAGAAAATATTGGCACGATTCAATTTAATTGACTTTAATTTAAATTTGAGTCTTGAAACGACGCCCAAAACCACAGTGGAATGAAAATTGGTATTCCGAAGCTTATCATAACAAAACAGTTTAATTCTGAAAATCCGCTCTTGTAAATAACCATTCGATTTTCATTTCAGAGTATACCATTAAGAACAACCTCCCTCATTGTCTCTTCACCCCAGCCGATATTCTCAACAAAGCTCAATTTTCATTCCGTGACTTGGAGACGTGAGTTGGTTTTCAAATTCTTAGTTTTCACTTGCTTAACTTTTTTCAGAGTGCTCCGCATCCTTTACGTTCAAGACTCTAAATTCCTTGGACGCCTTCACAATTCCAAAAACGTTTTCCACAGCTTTGACACTTTCCCTGTACAAGTAATTTCAACAAATGTTTTATGTATCCAGTTAATTATTGTTCTTACAGCACCAGAAACTGCTACTGAGCTACGCCACGGAAGAAATGATAAACACTCGAGATTCTGAAGGACAGTCTCCGATGCACTATATCGGTACAACTCCTGACTCCTTATTTTCTAGTCATTGATTCCGCATATTTTCAGCAAAGAAAGGAAACCTCGCCAGCTTCATTCTTCTCTGGTCTCACGGTGCCGACGTCAACATTCAGGATAAGAAAACTTTATATCCAATGGACTACGCTCTTCAACGTGATGATGTGGATATTGTCAAGGCGTTTCTTGCATTTGACGGAAAAGCCAATGAACTAGTGTTGAATAGTGTCATGAAGAGCAGGAAGAAATCCGCAGAAACTCTCCAGAAGCATTTTAAAGCACTCGAAGAGGGAAAGGGGCAGAGTCTCAAACATGATAATAGTAAGTAACTTTTTCAGCTGTAATCAAATTCAAAATTTTGTTTTTCAGAGAATCCAACTCATCGTCGTTGCCAAAAATTCCCAGACCTCTCCAAAAATGACGGTATTGTACTTTCTATTGATGGAGGAGGAATGAAAGGAATTCTGGCGCTTCAGTTGTTGAAGGAGATCGAGAAAGTGGTCGGAAACAAGTTTTTGGGATGGTTCAATCATATCGGAGGTACATCCACTGGATCAATGATTACTCTCGGACTCGTCAAATACGGAAATATTGATCATGTGATCAGACAGTACTTCCGAATGAAAGTGAGTCATGGTTAAATACTGGAAATGCACTTGAGTTTTTTAAATTAACGAACTCATTTTTTCCCGCCGAACAAAATTTTGAGAATAACGCAAGACCGGAAAACACGATGTTATTTAAATTGGAATTGAAAATTAATACTGCGAGAATTATTCAGAGAACAAGCGTAGAAAATCAAAAAAATGCCAACAATTGTGGCAAATAATTCGGAGGGTACAAAAATTTGGGGCTCATTGGGGTACAAAGCAATTTAGGGGTACAAAACCTTCAATTCGGGTGTACAACACCTGAAAAAGGCTTAGTTTTGTACCCCCTGAATTGTGAATTATGTGCCCCTAAATCATTTTGTACCCCGTTGTGCCCCCGAATTGTTGTACCCTCCGAATTATGTGCCAAAAATTGATTTGAAGGAGAGGAGACAGGATCGTTTAGAGTTTTTTTGCTGGATTCGAATAAAAAGAAAACATAATTTTCAGTACTCATGTTTAGTTTTCATGGAAAATAATCAACACTGCCCTCAAATGTATATTTTTCAGGATGACATCTTTATTGGATCTCGCCCGTACTCTGGAGAAGGTCTCGAAAATGCTCTCCTCAACGAATTTGGACGTGACACTTTAAAACAACTGGGCGAGAAGAAAAACATCCGAATCTCGATCCCAGTGGCTCGTGTCGACATTAGTCCACCGCAATTGTACATGTTCCGTAGTTACGACGTCAACGATACCACATTTGATCAATCGTCTCTGAAACCAGCATGGGGTGCTGCGAAAGTGGTCCGAGCATCATCGTAAGTTTTCGTTCTCTAAGTTTGAGCATTGCTCAAATTTGAGTATCTTTTCAGTGCAGCTCCGTCGTTCTTCCCGCCGGTGGACGGCAAATTTATGGATGGTGGACTTATCGCTAACAATCCAGCCGTCGACATTTTGACCGATTGTCAGAGATTGGAATTTGAGAGAAATGAGCGGAACTCGACGAAGATTATTGTTTCGATTGGAACTGGTGCGATGGAGAAGAAAATCGAGAATATTGATTTGATGAAACCAACAACGATGGGAGGTATTGTGAACACGTTCAATCAGATCATGCACCTCAAGGATGTTTTCATCGAACAGGTAACTAGATTTTGGATTTTGCACCCCCTAAAATTCTGCATACTCCAAATTGTTTGCCTTATTAAGTTTATTTTCGACGTTTCAATAATTTTCTAACGGCGAAATATATCAGGGAATTGTCTTTCAGGCTTTTTTTGAAAAGTGAAAAATGATTCGTCTCATCTCAAACATTTCCCAGTCCAATACCATCCTCTCTTTCAGCTAACCGCCGCCGACGGTGTCACAGTAGAGCGTGCCCGCTGGATGGCTGAAGCCATGGGAATGGCTTTCTTCCGTTTTACACCAAGCCTCGAACTACCGGTTGCTATCGACGAGAAGGATGACTGCGCGTTGCTAGACGCTATGCTTGCTGTCAAGGTAACGTTCGCCCTCTTTTTATTTTTCAATTTCTTCTTTTGCAGTACGAATCGATGACAATGCGCAACGACATGCTCATGTTGGCTTCAATCCTCAAGTAGATGTCCTTGATAGACATTCTCCAGAAAAATGTATATTCCATATTTTAGTTGAATTTTTTTGTGTAATATTTCTCACATTTTTTTTCAACTGCTAGTCATTTTTAGCACCCGTTGTGCTCTTCGACATTCCCGGTCATAATGGAATCCCAATTTACTAGTCTCCTGAAAAACTTTTGTCATAATAAAATGAAGCTTACTTTGATATGCACACACTCACATTCTTTGCTTTTTTCTCTTTATTTAGTCGGTGTGTATATCCAACTAAAAGTTTTTTCTTCTTCTTCTTATAAGAAGCTCTATGAGCATGCACATGAGCATGCGGAGTGCATTGAATATGAGCTAACAAAAATTGTTTCGTAGTTTGAACTTTTAGCTAATCGCATCAGAACTCCGCCCATGTTGCCAAGACTACAAAATGAAAGATGGCGGTTTGGTTACACTTTTAATTCTCTCTTACTGATCTGCTGACTATTTTCTGTGATTTGTTACCTTGAATTATCACATTGATCTTATGGAATATCAAAGACAAAAAACACCAAACGGTTGTGTTCCGTACGCCGAAGAATAATTGATAACACAGAGACGGAGGAGGTAGAGTGTTTTTCCATTTTTTTGACATTTGAAGTTGTATTCTTTTGATCTATGATTTCTTGACAGTATGGCAACCATCATCAACCATTTCTCGATTTGCCCCTAACTCACTCTCTCTGTCTCTCTTCATTCTTTGATTGTTATCTACCTTTCTCTTCTTTCTCTTTCTATCTTCCCCCCATATACTCTCGACCCCCGTCCGAGTACATTTTCGTTTCATTTACCACATGAGGTAACAACTCGGAAAAAGAGTGCAAATGTCAAATCAGAGAAAAGGAAAAAAAGAAGACTGTCTCCAGTCTCGGAACGGTGATTTACCGTTCTCTCACTCTCTCGAAACTGTTTCCCTTTTACCTGCCGACTGTGTTTTCTCGAACTGGTTTGCCTCCTTCCATACACATATTCCTTTTGTTCGTTCTCTCTATATGAACTATATTTCGGGTTGACCTTTCTGCGTCTTCTCCCATTTTTCTAAACCTCATGAATGTCTGCATCAACTTGCAGATGTACTCTCTCGCGCGTATCCCTTCTTTCACACACTCAAAATTTTTGAAATGAACGAAAAAATTGAAACGAACCAGTCCCCTTTCATTTCTGTTCTTCTTTTTTTCTGTATCACTGTTTTTTTCCTTTTTGAATTCCGCTGTATAAAATTCAGAAATTACAGGTCACCTCAACTTATTCACCATGTCGTATGGTAGGTCTCACAAACGGGCTAGAACCGATAGTAAGTTGGAAAAATCTATAATATTTTCAATACATAGTCTTTTTTGAGACATCTCGGAGCTCAATGCAAAATATATGGCTCTGGACCAACAGAATAACTTTCAAGTCATGTATATCTGGATCGACGCCACTCAAGAAAACTTGAGAGGGAAGACTAAGACGTTTGACTTCGAACCAAAGGTTGCATCTGGTTAGTTTATCCACGGAAAAGGTTTTAAAACGAAATAGAGGATTACAGATCTTCCTATTTGGAATTTCGACGGAACTTCGACCGGTCAATCGCTTGGCGAAGGATCAGATGTTTACATCCGACCGGTGGCATTGTATCGAGACCCATTTAGGCCGGGACCAAACAAAATTGCACTTTGTGAGACGTTGACTCATGACGAGAAACCACATCGTGAGTTTTTTTTTCATTTTCAGTCAAGAAGTCCATTGATGCAAAGAATCCAAAACATTTTTAGCAACAAACACTCGCCAGCAATGTCTGGACGTTATGGAGAAAGCAAAAGATCAGGAGCCATGGTTTGGCATGGAGCAGGAGTTCACTTTGCTTGGAGCAGACAAGCATCCCTACAACTGGCCAGTCAACGGATTTCCAGCACCACAAGGACCATATTATTGTGGTGTGGGTGCTGATCGAGTTTTCGGTCGCCATATACTGGAAGCACATTATAGAGCATGCATGTATGCTGGAATAAAGATCAGTGGTTCAAACGTAGAGAGCATGCCATCGCAGGTGATTATTTCCAAAAACCAGCTGTTATACTAATTTTCGTATTTCAGTTTGAGTATCAAGTAGGACCTTGTGAGGGAATCGAGATGGGAGACTCACTCTGGGTATCTCGATACATCCTCCATCGCATTTGTGAAGACTACGGTGTTGTGTGTAGTTTAGACCCAAAGCCAGTGCTCGGCGAGTGGAGCGGTGCAGGCTGCCATCTAAACTTCTCCACCAACGTCATGAGGACGCCAAGTGAGGATGGCGCCGGATGGCGGTGAGTGCGAAAATCAACACGTCCAAAAATCAAACGTCCAATTTAATGCATTTCCAGTGCTATCGAGGAGGCTGTCCACAAATTGAGCAAAGTGCACATGCACCACATTGCTTATTATGATCCACACGGAGGACGTGATAACGAGCGTCGACTGATCGGGGCTAACCAAACTGAAACAGTTGACGCCTTCTCTTCTGGAGTAGCCGATCGGGAAGCCAGTGTTCGAATCCCACGTCAAGTTTTCGCCGACAAATGCGTAAGTGATTGTACTGAAAAATAATCAGAAACTGATAAGATAACCAACGCACAATTCTTAAGAGCAAAGTACGTACATGTGTATGCGTGTGTATCACGTGTGTATTGAACTGTAATCGGCGTAGCGAATTAGACCCTATGATATACGGGGCTAATGTACAGAGTGGATTTTGGTTTTCAGGGAATGTTGGGAGATTTTGTTTGACAATTCAGTTTATCGAAAAATTTCAAATTTTAACTAGTCATCATTCAGATTTGCAAAATTATTCAAATGAGGGTGCAATTGAATTATGTTTTTACCGTTTTGTTGACATTCTTGATTTTCAAAGAAGCATCTCTTGGAAAAGTGTCAATTAAGCATAAAACATTTCTGAGAGCCTAGTTCCTTTTTTCAAATCTAAGACAATAATTTTAAACAGGGCTGCCGAACGGCCGGCTGGCAGCGCTGAAAAACTTTTTTAACACGGCCCTGGCCCCGCGGCCGCGAAAATTTTTTTTTTTGAAAATTTTTTTAAAATCGTCAAATAACCGAAAAAGCAAATAGCTAAAAAATTGAAATTGTCAGAAAAATCTGTGAATGCAAAGTTTTTATCTAGGTCTGTTTCAAACCCTCCACAGTTTAAGAATTGCGCGGAAATTATGAACGAATTGTAGTTTCTTTTTTTTTTTTTTGAAAAAAACCAGTTACTTTTTGTTAACTACAACGTTTTTTTGACCCGTCGAACTTGTGCGCCGGTAGTTGAAAGATGATCTGTAATGTTTGTATCTATCCTTGCCCCGACATTACCCTGAATTCTACAACGGAAACAAATTAGAACAAGTGTCTTAATGTTTGATTCCACTTCAATCTGCCTTATCATATCAAGACAAAAATTGTTACAGGGATACTTCGAAGATCGCCGGCCCGCCTCCAACTGCGACCCGTACATGGTGACCTCAGCAATGGTTAAAACTTGCTGTTTTGAGGGAGATGACTCAAAACTCACTCTTCGTTATGTTCCAAAATTCTAATCTCTCTGAAAAAGAAATCTTAGCTCTCTTGAAATTAGAATACAATTTCTAAGTCAACTTCCTAATTGAACTATTAAAAATTCCATGAATCTCGTCGAAATATTTTTTGTATATTCACCTGCTGGCTTGGTACCTACACCCAACTATTTTTACTTTTCAAGCTTTGTCAATCATACTTCTCAATAAATGGTCTATATCAATATGTAACACATAGTCATCTTGCACAAAATTGGACCCAGTTTGTGAACTTTTGAAAGATAAAAAAAAAATTTATCATTTTTTATTATTCTTTTCTGATTTTGGTGATCAATAAAGCTGTCAAACCACATAATTTTTGACAGAGTAGATAAGCACACAGATAATGAAAACAATAAGTTATTAGAGGAGTTCACAATAAGTTAATTTTTCAAAAAAATAAAGAAACCACGTGGAAAACACAGAGGATTGAAGGCACTGAAAATTTGACTATCAGGCATGAGAAATTTTAATGAAGAGTATGTGGGATCTGTTTCGAGATTACATGACGCTCTCTGAGTGGAACGCGCTCGACCGGGTCGAGAGCGGAGATGAGCTGAGGGAGCCAGATAAGGGCGTGGAATAGACCTGGAAATTTTGCTGATTTTAAAAAATTGAAATTTTGAAGGGTCATACCAATAATGTTCACAAGATATACAGTTTGGAAGAATACGCGGACCAAGTAAGCCGGAACCAAAATAGTGATAGCCAGTCCGACAAGAGTGGAAGACACAGCTTGAGTGATTGGCCATCCAACTGATGCGAGGGTGTCAGCAACCTTCTCTTGTGCGGTGCTGTACTCAGATCTGTGATATCTATAGCAAATGTGGACGGAATAATCGACAGCCAATCCGATAGCCATCACAATGCATCCCATACTGACAGAGTCCAAATCAGAGCCGAGAAGAGCAAGACCACCGCAAACACCCATGGAAATCGAGAGTAGTGACCATGTCATCCAGAACACCGAGAGCTGAAATCCAACATTGAATAGTTATCATATGAAAATGCATACCGCATCAGGAAGGAAAAAGAAGGAGATCAAAGCCATCATAGCCAATGCAGATCCAATGGTTTGCATAGAAGATGGGGCGATTGTGTGACGTTGATCAATTAAGAAAGGACTGAAAATTCCAGAAAGGAACATGTCAAAATCTGGATACTCCTTGAGGATATCACGCCATAAGAACAGCTCAGACTGTCTCTTATCCCAACTGTCGAGTCCATAAAAAGAGGTTTGGAAAGAGAATGCGGAAATGCATGGCTCTCCATTTGTGACGTTGTCCAGAATCTTTACCTTATCTGAAACATAATAACTGGCTACTGGCGGTGAGTCTAAAATAAATTACCTCTGTACTGTGAGTAATCGAGTTGCGAGAAGAAGTCTCTCATGTTCTTTCTATCATAGAAATCAGTGGTGTAGTTTATATTTGGAAAATCGTTCAAATACTGTTGGTACTGCCAAATCCACAAGTTTGTCGAGACTCTTCCAATAGAATAACTAGTGTGCTCTAATCGGAATACAAGTTCATTCAGCCTGGCACGTGCTCCAGCATCACGAAGGTCTGGTGGATTCATGATGTGGAATGTTGGCATGACGTTATCGGCCCAGATGTACTTATCTGAAGATTTGGTAATTAAGATTATCAGTAGATGAGTGAACTCACCAGCAAGGGCTACAAAAGTCTGGATTGGGGAGTTGTCACGAATGTACTTGACAGGAGAGATGTCTACGCGAAGAATGGAGCATCCATAGAGAGCAAAGGCTGTGTAAATTGGGAACAGAGCAAGGGAACCAATACGAACCCATTTATTCATAATGAATGGTGCAAAATAGTCGCGGAAAAGTCTGTGCATGAGGGGGACTGAAATAAGTTCGATCAGTTTTTTCTCGAAATTCATTCTGAAATTGACTCACGATCTTTAGTTTTCTCGTGGTGCTGGAAATCAATATGCTCTTCCTTCTCCTTAGCGGCTTCATTTTTAGCACGATTTCTTTCAACATCGTCATCGTCTTCGTCGATTTTCGTGTAACAACCAGTACAACACGCCAGTCCTCCTTTATCTTCACGATCTCCGGAATACTTGAGGACAGCAGCATAAAAGGTGATCTGGAATTCAACAGGTAAGATATATTCTATAAATTGTCCCTCTAACCTGCATCAAGTAATCGAAGAACACTCCGACGGCAGTGATGATACAGAAATCAGCAACAGCTGGTGTCGAGCACATCAACCATCCGAGGAAGAAGCAGAAGAAGTTGGTGAAGGAGGTGACAGTGATTGAAGCTCCAGCGTCACCCATCACTAAAGCTATTCGCGTCGCAGGCGACAGTTTCCGGTCACATTCTCTCCAAGCAGCAACCATAAGGAAGTCATCGTCGACCCCTACAGCTAAAACCAAGAAAGGCATTGTAGACGTGACTGGATTGAATTTAGCTCCACAGAAGAAGAATACTCCAAAGGTGATGATGAGGGCGAAGATGACGCACCATACTCCAAGGCACATTTCTACTGGTTTGGACTTCGTTCTATCCCAACTGAAATTTGCAACAAGCACATAAATGGTAAGCAAGATAGTAGCTGGGAATGCGTATGGAACGGTTGTCTTGATGATTTCGAGCATTTCGTCGTCCATTGCCTTGTCACTGAAACATCATAATTACAAATTTCTGGTTCGAGATTCCAAAAAATTACTTGTGAGGAATAAATTGAAGATCACTGTTTTCTGCGATGCTCTCCCAGTATTTATTGAGCTTTTGACGGAACGCGTAGTAGGCGGCATTGTTTTCTGGTGTCGCTGGATAGTTGACAAACCAATGGATAGTCAAAACTCTGGCTCCTTGAATTTCATTCTTTTCTCCCTTCACGTCTACTCCGTAGATAACGTTTCCAATATCTTTTGGGCGATTGAAAAGGTACAGAACTGGGTAAGAGAGCTGAAGATTAGGGTTGGCTTTGATTTTTCCATCCTTGAAAAGAACATCAGCGTGTTTGATCCATAAATTGAGATTGTTGTTGCAAGTGCTGGCTCCCGGATCTTTGGTACAAAAATCTTCTAGACCCCAGGTCTCTCCTTCATAATCATTTGTGACTTTCATCATCTGAAATTCCATTATTTTTCTTAATTCACTTTTTATTCAATTCTCACATCTTGTGTGTATTGGAATAAAGCTCCAAGATATTTGGATTGCAGCAAGTTGTCATACTTCCGATGGACAACGTAGAACCGAAGGATATCATTTTTGGCGGGAACTGGAAAAAAGTAATCGAATACAATTTTTTTTTCGAAATCAATAGCCGCTTCCGCTTGATACACAACCAATTTGACTGCCATAAAGTGTCATAAAATGTTGTACTCTCAATAAGGGCGATTTGCGTACGACTTTTCTGTACTTTCCCTTTTTCTCGGTGTGTTCCATCACAAAAAGTCTAAGCGAAATCCAGAAACGAATGGAATGGAACGACGGTATTCATCATTCGTCACTCTCAAAAACGTCTTTTCTCTCTTTTTCTCTCGATTTCCCTCGTTTTCCTTCACGGCTAATCGTGCACAAATCGCAATCAGATTGTGTGTGTGTGTGTGTGTGTAAATGAAAAATAGAGAAAAGGGGATGAAAATGACGTCTCAGTGTAACAAAACCTCCCGAAAAGGGGTCTCTCTACAGAATAAGAAAAATGACGCGATTTGACCCGGTTCCGTGAAAAAAGAGAAATCAAGATAGTATGTCAGGTTCGGCAAGTATGACTGATAACTAAGATAAATATTTCTAGACTATAAAAACAATTTTAGTGGTTTGGACCATGATTTTTCTGATGAAACGCATTCTTTTTTTGAAAAAAATTGAAATTGGAGTTTTTCAAATTTCAGAATCTGTTCCATTAGAGAAAACATATTCGAAAACACTGAACGTGTTCTTGTAGTCAGAAAGTTCATATGCCTGTACTATTAAGTTGGCGAAATGTTTCGGTGGCTAAATGTCGCGGAATCGCAAATCTGGAATATTTGAACAAATAAACGTATTGATTCATATTAAATATTTGCTCAAACACACCATTTCTGAAACTCTGCTTACCTAGCTTTCTCTCTCGATCCTTCTTCTCCTTATCCTTATTGGTATCTCTTCTATATCTAGCTAAGCTAGTAACATTTCCGAACGGAACATCATGTCTAGCCTCATCTTCCATAGCTTCCAGATCCCTCCGTAACCTATCCATCTCTACATCTGGAAAATAGCACGACGCATCAGAGCAATCGAATTCTCGTCGATTCCTCTTCGGAATCAAATTTAGGTCACCAAGAGGCAAACGGTTGAAATCTTTTGTTCTTTCGAATTCGTATCGAACCTAAACATATGTATTTTCATGAAAGGATAGCAGAGCAAGGAAACATACTGGTGCATCTGTTGGGACGAATAATCTGTAGAGATCAAGATTGATTTGTAAGAAGAAAAGTCCTGGTATGGATAGAACTGTACAAATAAGAGGACCGACGAGGAACCAAAATTGATGTTTCGCAAGGAAGAGTCCATAGTTGTAAAAAACCTGAAAGTGACAAAAATTTAAACTTCCAGATGGAATAAGACAGAAACTCACTTTTACCATCCAATCTTCAAATCGTTTACCATAGTCGCTGAGACGCATGGTTAGGTTTTGGGAACCCAACTGCTGGAAAACACAAAAAGATGAAAAGGTTTCAGGAAGAAGACTACAGAAAAGGTGTGACCAGATAAGATGAGTCAGATCAAGAAAACAAGAAAAAAGATACAAACTGATGGCTAGAAAACAAGGATGATGTGATGTGGAGAATCCAGGCAAAGCATTCAAGATATCTGGCAGAAGAAGCTAATGAAACGACACAGACATTGGACTGATGGCGGACCGAACAGGTTCTGATGAGAATTGCAATGAAAAAAGTGTGAGAATGAAAAAGAAAAAATGGACGCAAGACGGGGCATGGATGCGTTCGTTTTAGGCAGGATAGCCAGACAATGAAAGCGAAGATTCACGGATTTGATTTCACTTTAATGAATAAAAAAGTTATTTTCTTTTATTGTGTAATGAGGTGTAACAGACAAATGAGATAACACAGTTATGCTTATGTTCCAAGCATACAGTGAGGACAGAAGGATTATTATACAGCATACCTAGCGGTATGTTTGAAGAAACAAGAAAAAACAATTAAAGTGGAGGAGAAAGCACTTGTAACGTTGCGAAATGACTCCGAATGACTTTACAGGACTTCTTGACGCAATTGACCAGAAGCACGCCGTTTCCTCCCGAGACACACCGCCCGGCGTAGTCTCCTCGTATTCGTCGAGGGTTGAACCGGCGATTTGATAGGCCTTAGCCGGTCGAGAGGACAATCGGTGACCCATATATGGAAGAGAGAGAGAAACGATGAAGAACATTTTGTCTCTTCTTGGCGGTTTCTCCTCATCACGTCGTCTTCCGTAGTACTGCGGCGCCTACTGTCTTTGACCGATTTGCATGTGCTATCACACATCCAGACATACGTATCGAGATTATTCGGAAAATGAAAAAGAAGAAGAAGAAGAAGAAACCAACTTTATTGAGATTCCGGTGGTGACCTGTCAACAAATGTTGTATCAGATTTTTGGATCATACCCCCGGATTGTATTTAATGCAGATACCACAATGATGATTATGATCGGTACCCGGGCGAGAATTGAGTAGTTTTACTGTAGAAAACAAAGTCATTAGGAGTTGTTTTGTAATTGAAAATAGGGCCAAGAAAAACGTTTCTACAATTCTCGAGATAAATGTCTTTTTTAGAAATTTCTCTAGAATCGAGAATGTTCAAAAACGGTGGAAAAACTCATGCTACGAAAAATTGGAGCACATATTTGTTGTCAGAAGTGATGTTCAAAAATTTAAAATGTTTTATTTTAGAATCGAAACTTGACCTACCATATTCTCTATGGGAAGCCCACCCGATCCATAAACTTTGTGATCTTCTATCAGAGAAGACAGTAAGTAATAACACTTTTAAAGAAGGTTGGTCTACTTCTGATATTTTTTATCAGAATCAAATTGATCGGGTTGATCTAAAAGTTTAAAAACTTTACATTAGCTTCAATAGCGAAACTCAAATAAATTCATTATTTCAAACAATTTTAGTTGTGGAAATTAATTATTGTATGAATTCTCTAGAAATCGGTAAAAACCCAGACAAAAATTCAATCAGAAGTTTCAGAGAGCAGAGTAAGACAGTTTAAGAACATGTTCAGAAAACTAACAAAGATAGGAAATTCTAAACCCCCCCCCCCCCAATTCATATTTCTCAGAACTTTTGAAAATTCATAGTTTCTATCATTTTTTTTTCAAGCTCCAGTAATTCATTTTCTTACTTCAAAACTTTGGAAATTTTGGAAAAACTCCAGCACCTACAATATGCTCTGAACATTGGTTTCTTACTCTCACCTTGCATTCCAACAAATAGGATAATTTGTTGCTAACTTGCTTCAATCATCACACTACTACAATGCATACCTTTTTATGAATGGGATCACCACACAAGGAAATTCGTCAAAAATACAAGATCTCAAGCATCAAAAAATATGAAATTCGCTATATAAAAAGAGTCATTAATGCATATTTTGCAAGTGTTGCAAGTATCAATATGAAGTTTTTTGTTCCTTCTTTTTTCGTCGAGATGCCCCCCTCTTTGTTCTTGTCCTTCGGCTCTTTTCACCCACTTTATGTCTGTTTGAATGGGTACTTGTGTGTGTTTTTCTTTTGTTTTTTTTTTTCATTTTTTGTTCAAAACTTTTAAATGTGTTCCAATTATCATTAGTTGGGAGTGCCCAAGCTTTAGCTTTAAACTCACCTGCGAATTCTCACGCGCTTTTCGAAAAATATTACTGAAAATCGAGTCTCTCAAGTTTCACTAAAAGATTCTTTGCTCTTTTTATCTGGGGTGGAGAAGCTCATCCCTCACTGTATTCCTTCAACTCGGCTTATGCAAATCAATTTGTCTGTTTCTGTCTTGCGTCTTCCTTTGAACCAGACGGAATTTCTTTTTTGAAAAAAAAAGCTGTTAATTCTTTCAGTCACCTTTGCACTCTTTCTTTTCTATTTTCCGACAATCAGACTCGGACCAGAATGACGTATTCATCAGAAGCAAATTAGTTTGAATCATTACGTGTTTTCTTTTATTTTCTATTTTCTGTTTTCCCCGCTATCTTACGACATTTGGTCCCAAATTAGAAAATAGTTCTAACATTAGCCCCTCTTGGCCTCTATTAGCTAATCAAATTTTTCCGTAGATCCCTCTTTGGGTAAAAAGACCGAATATCATTTATTTTTTACTTTCACTTTATTCTGTTTGCTCCATTCATCATTCAGAAATTGACACCTCTCTCTTTTTGATGCAGGTATTGTGTGACTATTTTTACCTTGAAATCTTGTTTTTTTCTCAAGAGGTCAATCATATACTTTTACTCTATTTTTTGTCATACTCATTCTCTTCTATCGCTTTCTACTCTTCAACTGCCGTCGTCTAGCACCCCATCGAGTTTCTGACACTTTATAAAACAAAACTCTGGAAAAAAAAACACACATACACATGCAAGTGGCGAGCAGTCAAAAAACGAACAAAAGCAAAAGTTATGGAGTAGATGGGGGATACGAATAAAAAAAAACACACAGACACTCACATAAATTCACATGGTCCACAATATTGAAACGAAATTCGATTCGAATATTTCGTCCTTCTCGGTAGGTCTTCAATTCCAGAGGTTATGAAAACTGATTTCCAATACAAAAATTACTAATGTGATTTTTATTTCAAAATTTCGTGTACCATGAACACTATGATAAAATGACCATTCTAACTTTCAAACGAATTCGTCTAGCTTACTGTGAAAAACATGCGAAAGTAGCTGACAAAAAAGTTCGATTTTATAAGAAAAATTTTGTAAGTTGAGCACTTTTTGATAGCTTTCACAGAAAATAAGATATATTGGCTTAAAATTAAGGCGGTATGTTAATTTTACCGCCTTCCATCTGATAGAATGTTGCGTTGGAATCTTTTTTTAAACACGAATATGCTTATTTTTTCCAACTTTTCATTTTTAACCCACGTCAACTTGTTTTCTGCAAAAGGTCTTAGTAGTTTTAAACTTCAAACTTGTCGAAATTGAAGTGAAACACACAGAACATATCATTATTTTTATAACTTCGGAAAATTCAGAATATCATGACAAATTAAAAAAATATTGTCCGTGCTTCAAATCACTTTCTCATTCTGCTCTTTTATTTTATTTCAATTCTGCTATCTGATTTAAGATTTTTTTTCTGGTGGACGGTAGACGCTGTTCGCGTAGGAATTCTGCATGATATTTATGTCCAATTATCTTCTAAAATTATTTTCATAATTGGTTTATTTTCTAGTACCGAATACTAAAAAGATTTTTACTTGTTCAAGGTGGATATTGGTTACATCTTCATCTTTTCAATATGAATTAGGTGTTCATCGTTTCAAACATGATATTTTTTGATTTATCTAATGATACTACAAAATCGTACCTATTTCAAACTTTTTTGTCCATTTTCCTCACCTATTTGGTTTCTTCTCTTTAATATTTTCACCCTGTCTCTATTTTTCTAATAGAACGCAGTTTTTTCCATTTTTTACTCAATTATTTTTCATTTTTCAAGACATATCAGAAACATTTCAGCTTATCGTCATATTTTCAAAGAAATAAATTTTATTATTTAGCAACTTTGATAATCAAAGTCAAACTACAAGTTTAAAAAGGCAGCACAGTAGAGGACATAAAAAAAAAGAAAAAAGTTTTTGAAACTTTCAAATTGAAAAATATACACTATGTATAACACTTCTCTTATCCCAAGTACCGAGATATTTCATGAAGAATTTTCCTTCCTTGCTTCTCTCTTTTCTTGTTCTGAACGTGCACCTTTTCCAGATTTGAGCAAAAACCCCATTATTATTTCTAGAAATCTTCGTTTTTCTTTTTGTTATGCCTTCTTTACCTTTTTTCATATATTCTTCCTGCTTTACCTATTCAGAAACAAACACAAAAATGAAGTGAACTCTGCTCATTTCGAGTCTGCCCTTTTGTTTTCCTTTTCCACTTTTATACTAATTTTAGCCTCTAGCTTAGAAAAGTGTGAATTTTTATGTGTAAAACTTTCCTTGGGAACAAAAGCAAAGTTACCGGAAGCACCAGGTGTTGAAAGAAGGAAAAAGAAAAGGAAAGGAAAAAATGTTGAAAAAGAAATGAAAGGTCAGAATAGGCAAGGACAATCATTTCCGATGCTCTTCTCTTGCCTTAGTGCCTCTAACCCCTTTTTTGAGCCGTACCCAGTGGAGGATTAGGCAACTGATGCCTTATTATTGACCATTTTTTAGGGTGTCGGTCATTTTCTGCGAGAAGAACATTTTGCATAACGTCAGTAGATTTTGATTAAAATTTTGAATTATCTTATTATTTCCTCTTTTTTTCAAAATTTATTGTAGTACTTGCAACGAGGAATATTTCAAATACTTGCATTTTCCATATTTTCAACGAATTTTGCCATGTATTTATTGAAGTGGTTTCCAAAGACAATACTAAAAGTAAATACAATATAATACTGGAAAATTTCTAAAATTTTTGAAGTTAACAACCGGGAACAATAAAAACGGGTCGAGCTCAATTTGGATACTTCAGAATTTTATTAATACGATATACCGTGAAATCTGTTATAGAAAAGGACACGCTTAACTTTGAGATAACTTTGGGACTTTGGGATACTTTGAGATACTTTGAGATCCTATACGAGATATAAAACATGTGTCAATTGACAAAACATTTCTGATATTATGAAAAACAATTTAGCAGTTGACAACTTTTTGATACCTTTGACAGGAACCAAGAAAATTGGCTCAAAATTACAAGCTAGGATGCTCTTCTTTTACAGTTTTTACGGTATTTCTTAACTGTTTCCTTGTTGTATTTATCAGTGCACATCTTTTTCGCTAAAAGTTTTCTCCGTTTTCCCCATAATAAAACCGATTTCTGATTCACTACTTCTTCACCAACATACTAATTGATCTCTACGAACTGACCACATTTACATAGTAGAAGAATATTTTGTCCACTTCCTTTCCTCAAAATCTTCTTTTTTGCTTTTTTTCAATTTTACAATTAATTATTAATAATGAATCAATCTTTCATCCATTTCAAAAACAGATATGTGTCCTTGATGAGATCAAATATTCGGCTCTAAATTAGAGGAAAACCCTCTCCCGTCTACTCCGGCTATTTCTGAAAAAGTTATTTCTATCTTCATGTAAACTTTTTTGTCCTTCTTCCCTGTCTGCCAACTTAAATTTTCGGTTTATCACGGAGCGGAGGCTAAGCACGAAGTATAGCATCTGGTAAACAAAACATTAATTTTGTTTGATATTCTTTGGGTTTTCTTGGATCCTTCCCGCTCATACACTCATCATCTTCCGACAGATGGAAGCTTTTTTCATTGCTTTCCGTTTTACATTGGTACAATAATTTGAGCTTCATTAAGATTAATGGACTTGGATAGATCCTTAGATTAAGATCAATCTGATTTAATATCCGTTTACTACCGTATACCCAAAGTGGGTCAAATTAAAAGGAAATTCACTATGCTCTTTTTGAAATAAAAACCATTACATTTCAATCAATCCATCCGCAAACATATGAGAGCAGCACTATAAAAAAGGAAAAGAGGAGTCTGGAGGATAGGAAAGAAGAAGCGGGGCTCGTTCGTTCGCAGAAAACCCAACTGAGCACATTCTTCATCCGTTCCGCTCGATGTGCTCGTGCCTTTTGGCAGTGTGTCGGTGGTGGACCATCGGTGTCGCCTTCTATTTTAAACTATTGCCACTGCATTTTTCCAACATAATCCTCGACCACTTCCGGACAATGACGAGTAGACATTTGGGTTACAATGCGTCAGAAGAAACTCGAAGTTGCACGCGGCACCCATTTTTCTCTGCTTTATTGTCAAAACTCTATGAGCTGTAGTTGCTCAGGTTTTTCTGGCGCGAACAACATTACCTGAACTTTTGAATTCTTGAGTTTGAAAACGTGAGGTTTCAACTTTTGTCCGAATTTCAAAAAAAATTTCTCGTAGTCTCTGCCGTCTGGGGGATTCAGCGATTAGACCAACCGGCATTATCATTCAAAAAAAAAGAGTCGGAAACAGTAATTTTGGAATAATACCCTGAGCTTTTATTTTCTTAACTGGGCTGTCACATGCTTATGATTATGTTGTGTGATAATTAAGCATTGAAGCGAATTCGCAGCTCGTTGTTTCGTGATTTTATCCATATTTCTCTCCCATATTTTAAAATCAACGTATTTCGAAAAGGCCCTTGTAAGCTCCCCCAAAATCCTAATTTCCATTTTAGGCCCTCTTCTTTCTATTTTTCCCCCACTTGATATCCTGATCCTTCGTAAAAAACCTTGGACTATAAAAACTAGCCTACTTAGCTAAATCTCATCGGTCAATCATCATAAAAACAAGGTTCGAAAAGTGAAGTGCTTCTGAAGTATTGTTCTACTTCGTTTCTCTGTGTCTTTCCTTCTCTATCCAGTTATCATTACTCCATAATCCCGAAATTTGAGCGTTATATGGAATATTATTCATGTGATGAGTAAACAAATAAAGAAAAAATATAGAACCCTCGTACTCCTTCAAAATGAAAATTTCGAAATTCATATTCGTCGTGTCACGCTTTTTTTTGCTCAGATTTTTGAGTCCTTAAGAGATTGATCCTTTTTTAGAGAGGGAGATAGATTCTTCTTTGTTTTGTATCCCCCAATTTCATCTTAAAATTGGATGTAGCACTCATTAATCTTCTTGCTTCGACGCCTGGATTGACCTTCAGACATCTTCCATCGAGCAGATGCCATATAAAACTCCATATATATTATTTTAAATTTTGGGTTTGAATGTGTTTAGTTTCCTCATTCAAAGTCGGAATGTTGTACCCGTTCTAAACGCAACATTCTCAACAAAAAAGGTCCCCCGATTGAGAAAAGCTTTCGTCGCCCGGCTCCACCGCTCCTCTGTCAACGCCGAAAAGGAGGAGAGAAGAAGGGGACGGACGGCTTTGGACCGCCCACTTTTCTCCCTTTCGTTTTCTACAAAGCTCGCTCTCCTATCTCACTTTAATGTTTTGCCAGACTGTGAATTGAATTCTTCAGACAAGAGGCAGTCACGACGTCTCGACTCTACAGAACAATGTTATTTATATCCACAATATTCTTGTTACTCTACAGGTAGTTTTTTTAAAATCTAAAAAATAGAAAGATAGAATCATATTTAAATTCCAGAGGTGGGAATACAAGTCGAAGTGAGCCGGTGCCAATATACTTAGATAATCTTCTCAATGCTGGTCGAGAAGTCTACGATAATCAATCTCCGCCAGTGCAGCATGATAAAGGTGAGCCTTTGTTTCTGTTTTTCAATTTTGAAATTTCCTAGAAGTCCAATCTAGATCCTTCTAAATAGATTCAACGGGAAATCTCTGTTGATTCTCTTTCTCAAAAGAACATAGCTATTTTAATTGAATTTTTAAGAAAACTACCGCTATCTAATTCAGAAAGTTCTTGCTCTTTTTCCCCTTTCTCTTCTCTCCTTTTTTGTTTCTAAAATTCACAGATTTCAAATTTCGTCATCGGGGTCAATGATTTCTGATGCTTCAATTGTATAGTTTCAATTTTCCAATTCAAAGATTCTGAAGGAAAAAGCGATAAATATTTTAGAATCTCTGCAATGTAACAATAAAAATTGAAATTTGGAACTTATGACGTTTCAAAAGGTTCTTTGGTTTATCGGCGCTTCTCACCGACGAGCATTTCATTACTCTGCATTTTTTTTTCAATTTTCCTCAATTTCACTTTTTTTTGGTCCTTATAGAAGCGCCGAGGGACACTTATGCAAATATACACGCAGATATATCCTCACGGCTCTTTGAGCCTGTTCGATGAGCAACACCACCATAAAGCGTAAATTGTGCTTGCTTCCGATCCGTGTCGCCTCGGGTCTTTTTCGGTGGTTTTTGAGGAAGTAGTTGATAGGATTCTAAGACTGGTATGCCCACTTTTTGAGAACGAACTGCAACTCGGAGCGCAAGAGTTCTTTGTATATTCATCCCCGGATTGAAAATTGAAAAGCGAACTTGCCTTGAGAGTCGAGTATGAGACGTGCGGTTCGGATGAACCTAAACCCCCCACCCTCCGAACCAATCCAATTTTGAGACTTATTACGGAGTAGTCTAGAAATATAAAGACAAGGTTTCGTGTGCATTTTTGACGTTCTCGAAACTTTGGTTTATGAAATTCCTTCCTTCGAATTCCAACATATCATGAAAAACCAACAAGCCATAATTACACTCCAGCACGTTTCCTTTTTTCTACATTTCTAGGAAGTTTTTTTTCCAGAGGAAGTGACCGTCGTTGAATTGGCCATGTACATCGAGGGAATGTCATCATTTCGGACGCAGACCATGGACTTCCAGCTTGACGTCTACTTTCAGCAGTTTTGGAGGGACCCACGTCTGGCGCATAATGAGACACGACGTGTTTTAGTCAAAGACAAGGCAGTTCTACACAAAATGTGGCATCCTGATGTATATTTTGCCAATGCCAGAATTGCCGAGTTCCATGAGGTACAGAGAGAAAGGGACCAACAAGACCTCCTATGCTATTTTTTGTCGCGCCCTAAAAAGAATCCGAAATAGATTGAAAATTACCACTCTTCTGTTTTTTCTAGGTCACCCAACCGAACTTCCTGGTATGGATACAGCCGGATGGATCGATTCTCTATGATACACGTATCTCGATGGTTGTGGTGTGTACTTTGAACCTGGAGAAATGGCCTCTGGATTCGCAACGGTGTCACTTGCGGATTCTGAGCTGTGAGCTGGAGCATAACGCATAATCAGTTTGACGTCACCCTCTCATTTCAGATGCCTACACAACAGAACAACTGGTGATCAAGTGGAAGGAAGAGGAACCGATCACTAGGAATCCTAACATTGCCATGTCAGATATGCACATAGTCGATTTGTATCCAGGCCTTTGTGACGGAAACTATTCGACGGGTTGGTTGTAAACACTGGGAGAGGACTTTAATAGAAATAGGCGTCTTTTGAAAAAATAACAATTCAAAAATTTACAAATCTCCACTCGGCGGGCCAGTGTGTGAATAGGTAATAGTGCGTGACTAACCACGTTTTGAATAGAGCGGGTGCTCTTGACCAGAGACTTATGACGACTTCTCGAAAAGACTGACTTTTTTCTACAAAATAAGTCGAAAATTTCCTTTTTTTTTCTTTCGAAAGGAAGGAAGTTACTAGGAGAATGAAGCAGGAAAAAGCTTGTGAGTACCAATTTTGAAGAAAGTCGGAAGCTGGGCATCAAAAGGAATCAAAAAAGCGAGTGGAGTCAATTATAAAGAGCAGAGAGTAGCACACGTCTATTCTAAATACAACTATATATTTTCAGGTACATGGAGCTGTGTGACAGCCGAGTTTTTTGTGAAACGAGAAATTACTCATCATGTAATGCAGTCTTACGTACCGACCACATTGATAGTAGTGATATCCTGGTAATCAGAGACTTCTGAAGAAAATAACCCCAATTTCAGAAATTTTCAGGTTCAGTTTCTGGCTCGACGTAGAAGCAGTACCAGCAAGAGTATCACTCGCTATCACCACTCTTCTCACATTATCAACACAAGCCAACGCGGCTAGAATGGCACTTCCAGAAGTCAGTTACATGAAAGCAATTGATGTATGGATGGGAGCTTGCATGATGTAAGTACCACATATAACATTTTGTGAACCACCCACGTGTACGTGTCAAAAGATCAGCGAGTGTCAAAACACATACTCACTTGAGACAAAAGAGGGAAGTGTGGTGACATAGAATGGGGAAGAAAGGATAACCTGATTTTCTAGAAAAAAAAACGAGAATGTCGAAAGGTTTTGTAATAGTGAGGGGGGGGGGGAGCTGAAAAGAGACTGGAACACAAGGGGCCGGGGTACAAGAGTCAAAAACTTTTAAGGATTTCTAGCAGTGCTGAAATTTTCAGGTTCGTATTCGGTGTCATGATCGAATTCACAATTGTGAACTACGCTCAGCGACAAGGTAAGTGAAAAAAATGAACATGCATCCTGAAACTCAATGTAATCTCAAAACTCGCACAACTTGTGGTAGTTTCTCTCACACAAGTCAAACTGCTAGATCATCATCCTCACACCAACACATCTATAATTTTGAATGAACTCTCGAACTGATTTCATATATGTAAAACTGGCGATATGTTCAAAAGAAAATGATAACGAAAGGTTACGGAGAGTTATTTTGTACTAATAATTTTTGAAATAGTGATATCTAGGAAGGAAATGGCACCGCACTGATGCAGAAATTGGTAGGTGTTCTCCCTCATAACCTGGCACTGTCATGGAAAGCAAGAAACATCGTTGTAGCGTTATCTTCTACTATACACTAGTTTATCTTGTCACCAAATTTAGTTTTTTGTAATTTTATTGTGCTGTTTCAATTTTATGTTCTATTGAACTAGGTTAGACCACTTCTCAGTTCAAACATGCTCGCAAAACCATGCTCCTAATTCTAGATATGCATGTGTTACTTCATATTCTAAATTTTTGTCCGTCCCAATATTGTATTCAGCATCACAGGTAACCTGCGAACTGTCCGTTTCACAATTTGCATGTGGATGTAAAAAAGGCATGCAGTCCGGACCTTTTCCATATCGGACCGGAACCAGGAAGCTAGTACCGTAATCACTCTAGTAAACGCCCTCTTTTAGCAAATTAATCTCGGTCCCTGCTTGCCATATCAAAAAATGGCCAACTGAAAAAGTACAATATTATGATTATTTTGTCGGTTGGCCATATTTTGATATGCTTCACAGGAACTGATATAATTTGACTTAAATCTGGCAGACATTCTATAAGAGTATTTGCGGTATTCGAAGAAACAGATTAGCACGCAAATTTAGATTTGCAAAAACACCCTTAGTACCCATGGAAATACTGAAAACGGACCAGTTTGCACTTTGCCTGTGATTCCTATGTTACTAACAGTTTCATATTTTTCTTGCTTTTTTTCTTTTTTGCGGAAACAAAGCTTCTGAATGAGTAAACTTCTCAGTTAGAAATTCTAAATATGTATTTTAATATGTTTCAATTGATTTCTTTAGTAATGGCATCCTCCATGGAATTCGTAAAAAATGGAAATGGAACTGAGAAGAAGCCTTCACGAGGAGATTTAGGAGCTCAAACTAAGCAGATTTTCCGCAAGTTTCGAAACAATGATCGTCAGCATTTGGTGGAGGTGAGCATCCAGTTATTTTCAATTTGTTTGTATTTTCTTTGTTATACTACGTTTCAAAACACTTTTGTCCTCAATGTGCTTTAGTGTTTGCGATTGAAACTGAAAATCAGATAAAACACACAAATCACTAGAAATCACTACAGATTACACAACAATAATGTTTAGTTTTCACGATCACACACAGTTTTTTGTAGGATCCACCTGAGCAGATAGCAATGAATGACACCGCATATGATACGGTCAGTCAAGCGTACAGTAACAGCTTCTCTGACGAAGAGGTACGCTTCCGTGCAACTCTTCACCAAACCCAAAAATTTTGTGACGTGCCCTTTTCTTTGAAACCGTACTATCCAAAAGTCTTTTCCTCTATGTGCCTTCTGCATGTCCTATCGTTTTGACACTGATGTTTCCCCCAACCTTTCTTCATTTTTCTTCACGAAAAATTGAGAACCAGTTTGAAGTGGTTTGATTGGTTTTTCGCATGAACCAGAAACTCAAAATCAGAACAGATTCGGAGGAGTATCTATCTTCTTTTTCACCAATTCCATCCCTTATCAGCATGGAGAGCCCCTACTTCAAGCCAAAACAAACAAAAAATCAATCGAAATCTCTTCAGGCGGCTCCTATAACACAACAACGAAATGGGGACGCTGAGGCGCAGGAGGAAGTGTGGGCAGAACAAAAAGAAACGAATTCGAGTGAAGTGTGGAAAGAGAGAGACGGCACCGGCGGCGTCGATCGAGGAGCTGAACGTCTTGCGCACTGGAATGAAAAAGAGAATGATGCGAGCTCGCCGTTAATGGGAAATGGAAGGGCTCATGGTAAATGTGAACACATGAAAAAATGGGTGGGGGGAGGAATTCGGGAAAGGAATTAAATTTTTTGAAAGTGGGCAAGAGGACCAAAGAAATCTAGATTTATTTTGGCTGCAAAATAACTAGGTTGAATGTAGCATTTTCCGATTTTAGAGAGAAGGGACCATAGAGTTGATAAACTTATCTATAACTGTTTTGATGACGATTCCAAAACACTGATTACCTTTTTCTCTGATATAAGCCCATCTTACACATTATCTTCGAACTCAATTATCTCGGTTCCAATGAGAAACTTTTTATCAAATGATGAAATATTGGTGATATTATGATGAATAATTTATCAGTGAAAATTTTTATTGATATATTATGAAGAAACCGAGATAATGGAGCTCAAAGTGCAAGTATAAGCTTCTATTAGATCAAACCCTTCCATATCACTCTCATCTTGCACTTTGGAAAAAGACTTTCAGCTAAAATATCATGTTTTCAAAATTGGTTTTTCAGTGAGATATGGTGCCGCTGAATCGCTCCGCAGCCGAAAAACCAACGAGAGCAGCCGAAAAAAAGATAAATGGAGTTCGGCGATCAAGCAGATCCAGAAGCACAAGTTTGTTGATTATTTGCCTTTCCCCTTGTTGTTGAAACTCATCTGATTCAATTAACCTATTATCATAACCCATTTCAGGAGACACGGTTCTATATTTGGGTAACTAACAACTGACTGTTTTGATATTTATTGTTTTTTTTCTAACCAACGTCCATATCCTTTTCATATTCGATTTTGATTTTTTCTTCTAAAACCTCATTTTATTTCATTCTAACCTGATTGCAGTTTTTCAACTCCATTGCTTTTTAAGTTTAAATTAATTTTTTTTTCGACAGGCTGTTTACCCCCTACAGACTTCTTGCATGGTGCAATGAATAAAAATCATGTTTTCAGGGAAATCGCCGGTCGGAATCGAGCCAAGAAAATCGATCAATCGAGCCGATGGATCTTCCCACTCACATTTATCATTTTCAATCTTACCTACTGGATTTATTATCTCTACTGGAAAGAATAGAGGTGATCAATCCAAACTCACAAAACCCTCTATTCAATTTGTATGTAATAATCGCTTGTCTTTTTCTTTTCGAAAAAATCAAAAAGTTTTCCTTGTCTGAAAACATTTAATGTACAATATCTCATTTTTCCACGAGTCCTCTTTCCTTTTTTTTCTGATGTAACTTTTGATATCAAAATTCTAATTCAAATTCTGTCATTTCCTTTTTTCCTATCCTGTCTTCACATTTTCTGATAAACAATTTTATCTTCTCAATTTTCGTGAGAAACTGTGACCGATCCTCAAGCAGGAAGAAAAGTTCTCCTTGAAAAAACTTTGACAAAGCGAAAAAGAAGACATAGAAGATCTTATCAATGGTTGGAACTGATCTTTCCCAGTGCCACTCTGTCTTTGTTTCTTCTGTTTTCTTTTTCTTTTTTTTCATTTAGAGAGAACTGATAAGTTCAGAGAAGAAGAAGAAAGATAACAGCGAAGATCACAGAAGTGAGTGAACTTTGAATAGGAATCGTGATTTTTTGGTACAGTACAAACGGAAGAAGGAAAGTGTCACAGACGCTGTGAGATGTGATATACGAAAAGTTGAAATTGCATCAGAAGGTCAACATAGATCAGTTTCAAAAACAATTTTTCTTGGGAATCAAAAATTGAATGAGGTCGCGGAGATGGAATTCTGGAAAATCTAGGAAAGCTCAGATGTGATGTCAGGGTGAAATTGAAGGAAATAGAATAAAGGGAATATACGTTTCCAGAAAATAGTTTTATTTTCAGAACACGCCAATTCTTGGAAAAGCAAAAAACTTCTAACTGAATTCTCTGAAAAACATGAGGAATGTTGCTCGCAACGTGCTCCTGTTTGATTCCGGTTGTTGGGTTTTATGCAAAAAAGCAACTCTGCTCCCTTGGCCACCAATTGAAGTTTGGTTACAAGACAGAAAATAAGATACGGTAGGTATTCCGTGACTTGAACTTTCATCCCTTCCATTTCCCAAATCAATGACTTTCTGATACTTCGTGATTGAAAGATCACTTTCAAAAAAAAAAAACCAAAGTGACTATGCAAAAGATCGCTTCCAACAAGAAGAAAACATGATTCGTCTAACGTTTTCTTACTGTAGGGTGGGTCATAAAGAGAGTATAAAAGGCTCTAAGAAAACCACAACAACCATCATCAAACGATCATCATGAACGCTTTCGGTCTTCTTTTGGCTCTCGCCGTCCTCTTCGCTTCTGCCGAGGCTGCCAACCGCTACGGATGGCCAGACTCTTATGAGAGATTCCTTGAGAGAGTGAGTTTCCCATCCCATTCAACTTTTCATAACTGATTTCCCGTTTTCAGCAAGGAGTCTGGGACTTCAAGAAGCACGAGGTGACTACTACCTACAAGCGTCGTGGAAGCTACGAGAAGGACCTTCGTGATCTCTTCGACGACTGGAAAAAACAAACCCGTTGGGGACAAAAGGACTACCGCTCCAACAAGTACCAAGCTCCAAAGGGAGGATTTGGACGTTACGGATTCCCAGGAAAGTAAATAATTTCACTTGTATGAATTGAATTGTTTCTTTTGTGTTTTTTTTTGTTTAATTTTCTTGAAGTAATAAACGTGTATAATGATAATTTTTGAATGCCATAATGAAACTGTATAATGAAAACATATCAATAAGAGGAAACAGTTATCCCAGAGTTGCATGTTGATTATCCTGACCTGTTAATAATAATAGGAGTCATTCAAAATCTTCTTGAATTGCACAATTCTCAATCTTGTTAATTTTTGTGTTATTTTGATTGGTAACCGATTTCTGAATTAAGAAGTAATCGGAACCGGTTTGAAAAAATCAATTAACCAACCGTTTTTTATTGAAAACAATTTTTTGCAGGAAAGTTTGTTCGATTGAAGGACTGTAACCTACGAACTTTTCGAATTTGGAAAAAAGAGAGCATATTCAAACATAACATTGAAAAATGAAAATTCCAAGCTTTTTAGTGTTTCTAGGAGAATTCGAAAAAAAAATTAAACAAATGTTTGATTCATGTTACTTTACTCTGAAAACTTTAAACAACTCAATAACTTAGTGATTTCTACCGCGATTGGACAAAATTTGAATTCCGTAATGCTATAACCCCTATGCTTGTACTGTAAAATAATTCTTCTCGGTCCCTATAAAAGAAAACTAGCTTGATTAAGTTTTTAAATAAAATATTTGCAACATTTTTGTAGTTCAGATTTTCTCGATATCTTCCAAAGAGATCAAGATCTTTGAGGTCAACATGGAAGTACATTGTTGATTTATTTCATAGCATTTACAGTATCTGAATTGTTTAGTAACTACTGATTCAAACCACGTTTACCGGAAACGGAGTTACCGAAACTAGCTTCTAATAGTTCGAGCTGATATCACTTCCTCAATGCTTCAAAAAATTTCATCAATGCCTCATGTCTGCATGATACCTAACAAAAACATGAGGTTATCACGAAATGTTGTGGCCACTTTGATGATAATACCTCCGACAAGAGAATAAGAAGACAGAAGAGGTCATTCCTTTTTCGTGCAAACTAGACCACACAGATAGAGGCGTAACTAGTCGAAAAAGGTAGTATAAAAAGAGGATTATCCGCCAAAAAAAAATCATCATTCGGCAACGATGAACTCCTTCGCTATTCTTTTGGCTTTTGCTATGCTCTTCTCTGTCGCTCTCGCTGGACCAGGAAACCGTTATGGATGGCCAAGCTCGTATGAGAGATTCCTCGAGAGAGTAAGTTGAAATACTTGCAAAATTATTAAACTATTCTGTTTTGTTTTCAGCAAGGAGTTTGGGACTTCAATAAGCACGAGCCACGCGCTGACTACAGACGTCGTGGAAACTACGAGAGAGATCTCCGTGACCTGTTCGATGACTGGAAGAGACAAACCCAGTGGGGAGGAAAGGGATACAGATCTAACAGATTCCAAACTCCAAAGGGAGGATTCAGCCGTTACGGATTCCCAGGAAAGTAAATTGTCGAATGTGCATCTACTCGCCATTACCTCATCATATCCACTTTTAGTAATAATTTTTTGTTATTACTGTCTATTGATGTAGAAATAAATTCTTTTTTAACAATTTTGTCTGAATGAAAAGATTTGCGGACATCATCGGAATAAAATTCGAAAAAGAATAACATCCGGTTTCAAATTGTAGTCCAAGTTTGGAGGCGACATTATACAGTTTCAGAAAACTTCCATTGATTAATACGTGAAACTTGTAATAGAAGGGCTCCTTAACTTCTAACTTTGAAACCTTTTTTTCTCGGTCCCTGAAAAATATACAAAAAAAGTTGTCAACTGATATATTCATAATATCAAAAGTGTTTTCTCGGTTGATACATTTTTGATATCTTGCATAGGAGCCAGGAAAAATTAGCTCACACTGTACAATGTAGGAGCTGTTTCTCCACAGGTATCCATGTAGATTTTTCCCAAGTATTTATAATCACGAGACAATGTGAAGCAATCTGGGAGCAAAAAGAAGTAATCTAGCACCAACTTTAAAGTCTCAAAACTTTTCAGGTTATCTTCATTTGGAGTAAAAAAATCTTCCTCACAAAATATAACTGTTGAATTGAACACTTCAAATTGTAATATATTTTAGTTTCAAGCTGAAATCATGATTTTATCCTAACAAAATCAGATTCTAGATTCGATTTCCAAAAAGTTCAAAATATGTTATTATTAAAATCATTTCGAAACGCAGAATTCCCTGAAACATCAACATTTTTTGTATCTCATCAAAATTCAATAGTTTTCAGTAATTGTAAATTGTCAATTATAAGTTTTCAAAAATTCCAAGTTCTTCAAACTTGAATTGAAAGAAAATATTGTTCCTGATAGATACATTTGACCTTGAAATTTCTCAATTTTGACAAATCAGACGTCAAACCCGCTCTCCGTTATGATATCACTCATAAGCTAATGAATCACTGAATTGATTTGAAACAGAACTTTTACAGTGATATCACTTCCTTTAGCTTACTCTCCATTTGGTGAGTTTGATGTTGTGAAAGTTCGGTTTAACGTTTTCTGTTTCTATCAAAAGATCAGGCACAGTAAAAAAAAAACTAGTGAAAACGTCTCCTTGGAAATGATAAGGGCAATTGGCGAAATAGGCAGACTGGAGAGAGAAAAAGTTTATAGATATAATACGGAAGTCAGAACGTTAGGACAGTAGGCGTTTCTCAAAATTTCGATATAAAAGGAACTGTCTTCGAAGGTCAGAACATCATCAGCAACGATGAACTCCTTTGCTATTCTTTTGGCTTTTGCCATGCTCTTCTCTGTCACTCTCGCTGGACCAGGAAACCGATATGGATGGCCAAGCTCTTATGAGAGATTCCTTGAGAGAGTAAGTCAACCTGAACTAATCATAATTTAACGATTTCATAATTTCAGCAAGGCGTCTGGGACTACAAGAACCACAACGTGAGATCCGATTATGGACGTCGTGGAGGATACGAACGTGACTTGAACAATCTTTTCGACGACTGGAAGAGACAAACACGTTGGGGACAAAGCGACTACAGATCCAATAGATTCAACCAACCGACCGGAGGATACGGACGCTACGGATTCCCAGGAGGAAAATAAATGCTTCTCGAAATTTAAAAAAAAAACCTCTCCCATTTCGATTCATTTTTTAATTGAAATAAAAACATACCTTCAAACTGTTTTATTTATGAATTATCGAACGGAAAGAACTTTGATTTCGGAGCGATCCGCTTGGGGATATCATTAGGGTCTCAATAGTGCTGACGAAATGGATTTATCTAGCGACCAATTACAGATCTTCTTCTAAGACTTTTTTCAACCTGGGAAATATGCATATGGTTACTTGTCCTGCTTGGAGCTTAATCACCTAGTTTTCGCTTCTTGTATTTTACACTTAATGGGTCTTGATGAAAAAAGACGAAATTCCAAAAATACTCGTTTTTTAAACCTAAAAGTACAAAAAAGAGATGATTAGTGAACACAACAACCGATTAGAGATTGATATAATTCATTTTATCAAAAAAATAGAATCTTTAGAGTACTTCCGAATAGACGACATTATTTTTCCTTACCGATAGAGCATCAATTCTAATGTCTTCTATTGTTGTTGTCCCGGAGAGAGCGACGAAGAAAATTGGCTCGGTCACTTGAAGTTCAATTATTTCGAACGACTGTTTTTGAGACTGGTTGATGGCCAAACGATAGGCGGATTGGAGACTCGATCCTGCTTCTTATAAATGAGACATTCTTCTGTTAGATGAGTTTCATCCTTGAAATAAGTACTGACTGTTTTTGATGGGTCCACTGGCGAACGTTATGGTTTCTTTTCACGATCTTTCATATTTTTGCTCTCTTTTTCTCTTCAGCTGTAATCAGTGTGCCTTATCGACAAATGCTTTGTCGACAAAAGCCCTTTTCTACAAATTTATCGACATACCGTAAAACCTCTAATAGAAC